CTTCATCATGACAATGCGAGCTCTCACACATCGACTCAAACAAAGGCATTTCTGACGGAGCGAAAGATCGAACTGATGGGTCATCCGCCGTACAGCCCTGATTTGGCACCCAATGACTTCTTCTTATTCCCACACATCAAAAATAAATTACGTGGACAACGATTTTCGACCCCCGAAGAAGCGGTTTATGCATTCAAAACGCATGTTTTGGAGTTACCTCAATCGGACTTGAAAAAGTGCTTTGAAAATTGGTTCAAACGCATGCAAAAGTGTATTGATCATCATGGAGAATATTTTGAAAAACAATAAAACCAATTTCGATCCTACATGTTTTTTTTTTCATTATTATGCCGGAAATATAAATAGCAACCCTCGTATTCAAATTTAATGGACTCTAAAATATCTTTAATTTAATTTACATGTTTGAAATTATGTCAGTATTTTTATTTTTAAAGAAATGTTAATGAGCAATAGAAAAACGAAAACTGTTTTAAATAACTCTAAATCTAATGCCAATAATAAAAATTATCATGAAGTACAATGAATAAATTACACTATAATTGTATCATTAGTTTTTATTTATTTTGAAAATGTAATGATTATTATAAGTAAAAATGCTATTTTATTCTAATTTGAAAGATCTTTTTATTCTTTTTACAATTTTTTAGACACATAAGTTCAGTTATTTAATTCAAATTGTGTAAAAATAATAAATTTGTTTGGCTTAAAAGATGCTTAATATGTTATGACGAATAATTATATGCAAATTATTTTTCTTTATAGAGGCGAATACTTAAATGAGAAGAGTTTTTAAATGGAGAAGAAAAAATATCACAAAATGGAAAAAGTGATATTTTTTTTTCTTTCCAGGCTAATGCTTTTTATTCATTTTTGGCTACCTCCAGCCATTAAATTTTATGTTATTTTCAACAGTTTCAGTAATTTATTTATTATTCTTGTGTTTACTGTTTTACTAACCAATAAAAACATTTAAAGTTGTTTTTTTTAGCAAGATAGCAGCTGTGTTTTGCAAAAAATAAATTGCATTTTTTGTTGATTTATCTTTTCTTAAATAAGTATGATGCAGATTAATAATTTTAAAAATAACTTATGTGTTTATTTCACTTTTTTATTAACATTAATAAATATATATTAGGAGGCAAATATAGCTTGGAAATCATAAAAATCAGTGGTAAAAAAAAAAAAACAAAAAAAAAATTAAAGTCTCTAATTTTTTTCCCCATAGTCTCACCCTGCATCAAAAAAGAATGTGATCTGCAAAATTCATCGTGTTACAATTCAACTCATTGCTGTCATCCTGAATGTCTTGGCGGTTGCACAGGCCCTCTATCATCTGACTGCACTGTTTGCAGGCATGTTGTATGGGAAGGAAAATGTATGAAAAAATGTCCACCAAACACTTATGAGGTATACATTTTGATCTTTCACTATTTCTAACCCATAGATATTTTAATGAGTAGTTATATATCCCTTTGCATGCTAGGGATCGACTGTAAAAAAAGAAGAGAGGAAATTATTACCGAAATTTATGTACAATTGATGTTACTTTTTTGATATGATTGCCATGACTAAATTAAGATTTTGGAACTTTGGTTAAATAGCTTTGAAATGCTCTCATTGTTGAACTAGTAACAGGGTGCGTAACGTTTTTAAAAAGTGCTTAAAGGTGCTTTTTTCATAGGGTGTTTTTAGAAAGTGCTTAATTTTCCCTTTTTCAATATGTGATTTTCCCTTAACCATGTTGATTTTCACTTCGAATTATGCAAAAAGACGCAGTTCACATTGTTCTATTCAACGTTTTCATAATTAATTTAACCCGTCCGTAGCGTATAAAAACGTCATTCGTTTTACATGATTCAAAATTTTAAAACAATACCAAAAGTTTTTTTTTTTTTTTTTTTTTTTTNTTTTTTTTTTTTTTTTTTTTTTTTTTTTTTTTTTTTTTTTTTTTTTTTTTTTTTTGGCATGACGGTTAAAACAAGATAAAACAGTCAATTGTCAAAAACTTTCCGACCCTTCCTAATTATGATACTCTTTTTAAAAATGCTTGAAAATTTTTTTTGAGTGCTTGAAAAGTGCTTATTTTGTGTTGAATAATTTTGCTACGCACCCTGAGTAACCACCAAAGGTGTGAGACAAGTGTGATAAGCATTGAAGCTTTTTCAGATTAATTTTCCAGGTTGCCAAACTAAGCGAGGAGTAATCTGAACATTGTTTGGACTGTTAGTCATTTGCAAGAAGTTGTCAGTTACAAAAATTGTTGTCAGTTATTTGCGAGTAGTTGTTTTAAGCTCCTCTTTGGTCTAAGAACTTAGGCCTAGGAGAACATTTACGCAACACGATCTGTCTGATCTTACTAGCAGACTGATATTTACAATGAAAGGTGATGGGTTTTCGTTAACCTTGTCTACTTTCCAATATATCCAGTTCATTAAAGAACTTCAAGTATAATCAAGGTTAGGACTGGGCAATAAATCGATGCATCGGGAAATATCGATTCTAAGAAATCATCGCCGATCCGATGTTTGGATTGGTAATTTTTCGAAGCATTGGAAATTGTGATTTACTTAGATGTGTACGATATTTCCCGATGTATCGCTGACATCGATGTCTACACGCGAGATGGTGAGCATTGTCCCCAATGGTACGCCGATGTCTACACGCTCGCGCGAAGAGCATTTTCCTCTCTAAGTGTGCAGTGATACCTGTGGCGATGATCGTTATCTTTCTCCGTCTGTTTTACATCGTGACTCATTGTTTTGCTGACATGATGAATCCGAATGTGATTGAGAATCGAATCGTTGTTGAATCTCTTAGTTATGGAATGCTTTCCTTTTAATTATGTATGTGCAAATCCTGTTGATTTTTTAACAATTAATCCAGCCGTTTAATGTTTTTAACAGATATTTTGCAAACATCCACGTCTTTAACTATTGAGAAATAATTATAAAAAAAGGCAACATATATTTTTAAAATGAAATGCAACTTACTAATTACGAATTTACGCAGTACTAAATATAAAACATTAATGTACCGAAACATCGCGATGCATCAAAATATCGATGTTAGCGTGACGATACATCGCAATGCCAACATCTCCCAGTCCTAATCAAGACCATCCCACTGCATTGGTGGCAGCAATATTTTTGAAGACAAAGTTTCATAGCTCATTTAATGATATGCTAAATGCCTGGTGTCCTTTAGGCAATTATGCTGAAAAGTTAAAGGCCTTTCAAATAAATCCATTTTGTCCGTGAAACTTTTTTATATGTATGTAAAAGATTGGAGAAAAAATAATCCTCATATTAGCATGTGAGAAAGTGACAAAAATCACATAATCACATCGAAAAGACTATTATCCTTTTAATTGTGTTACAATCAGATGAATTCGTTTTTTTTCCCCCTTCAAATTTAAATTTTTTTTTCTTTCCAATGCCCACCTGAATAATGACCTAGATCATACAGGCACCTGAAGGGCAGATTTGTTGGCCACTCTTTCTGGGGCACCATATTAGGTGGGCCAACGATGCTCCCACAGTAAGGACATATAGTACAGTACAGAGAAGGAAAGAACATCCATGCCTTGCCCGGGATTCGAACCCAGAACCTTTCTGATGCAAGGGCAGTTCCCTAACCCCTACACAGGCTGGTCAGCAATTTTCAAGTTATTAAAAGTAACATTCTGAATCTAAAGAAAGCTTAATGTCGATTTAATGTAAAAAAAAATTTTAATAGAAAATTACTTTTTTACATATTATTCTTTCTTTTGCAGTTTATGAATCTTTCTTTTGCAGTTATGAATTTTTAATAGAAAATTAATTTTATGCATATTATTCTTTCTTTTGCAGTTTATGAATCGAAGGTGTGTTAGAGAAGATGAGTGTCGAAATTTTTCAATATCTCACAAGCATTCTTCTGGGGGAGAATATCCTAAAGTTCCTGATGTATATTATAAACCATTTCAATCACAATGCACAACAGAATGTCCTTCTGGCTACATAGTCGACGATAACAATCCTCACGTTTGCAAAAAATGTAGAGCCAAATGTCCCAAGGGTAAATGTATTTTCGAATGTTTTTTTTTCATTAGTTGATACATAAATTTTCTATTTTTAAATCAAAATTTAGTTTTTTCTTGTTTCTTTCTGAAATCCCAATAGTAATTTTGAAAAACTGTTATAGGTCCAACTGTTTTAAGTTCTAATACATTTGTATAATTCCTGAAATATTAGTATAATATTCCCTTATAGAAGCTAAAACTCAGATTTGGAGGTCATATACATTCAAGTTCTGTGGATAATGATTGTGATTTAACAATTGAAAATCTTAAAAATAAACTACTTACTTCCTACATAATTTCATTGAATAAAGTTTTTATCATCTTGTTAAAAAATTTCACAGTTTTATTTACTGCTGTGTCAAAAGAAAAAGTTTAAAATTCGAATTTTTTTTTTTTTTTTTTNTTTTTTTTAAACCTATTTTCTTTTTAGCAAAAATTTAGTCATAAGTAATCTAGTATTCATTCTTTATGTATAATTTTCATTAAAGAAGTGCAGATGTTGATTTTAATTATTTGTCTTCACAGTATGTGCTCCAATGACTGTGGATCATGTTGGAGCAGCGCAAAATTACAAAGGATGTACTCGGATAAATGGTTCTCTAGAGATTCACATTCAGGGCGGATGTAAGTTCAGTTTATTAAAAATATTTATTGTACTATTTATCATTTGCAATATTTTTTTTTTAACTTCCATGTTTTAATTTTGCCTGAGTTCATGTACTTGATAGAGATGTGACAAGCTCCTCCCAGGACCAACAGGTTTACTGAAAAAAGCTTCCAGTTTGGCTTGTACTCACAATAAAATTTTCATAATCTGTTCTACCACTTTTACACAAACATCTGGTTCAGTTATTAAGTATAAAAAAATTTAAAATTTGTGGGGTATGAAAAAGAAATAGTGATCTGCTCCCGCTGTTTGGTGTTTTTGCTTTGTGAGGCTCACACTAATTTCCAAATGACATAAGTCTCAAATCTAACTGATTCATGTATCTCAAGCTCTGATTAAAAATCTTTGGGCTCCAAGTGAGCCTGAACTATCTCTAGTACTTGTTATAAATGTGAGTCATTGCTTTTAAACTAGTAAAATATTAATTATAATAAAACTACTTCTAAACTGGTAAATCTAAACAATAATAATAATCAATTACTGAAAAGCTCATATTTGTAAAGTGTTCTATAATGACTGCCTATTATATTATAATTCTTGTATAAATTAAATTTTTAAAAAAAATCTATCCTCATTAGGAGTTATTACTTAACATTTGTACGATATTTACTGTAGATGACACTGTTAAAGCTGTATGCCAACACTGTTGAACGTTATATCGGAATAAGTTCGATTATTCCATTTATTCGTCTTATTCAGTTATGCCTTGTAGATGTGTCTAATAAATCATGTGTGTTATTTAATCTAAGTCTCCTTTTTTGTTGTTACGTATGCCACTTGCCAATATCAGTAAGCCTGCTTGAAATCAAGCGAATTTTTAAAGCAGAGGGTGCGTTTCTTGTTTTTCAGTTTTGCCATCTATGGCCAAGAATATGAGGTTTGCCACACACATACGTCACAACCCGTTTAACAGAGAGGATTCATTCACGCACCTTTCATCCATCCGCAGATCGTAATTTTGACCTGAACCAGAGCACAATCAATCTGCGATTCAGACCCGTAGACCTATTGATTTGTTATGGAGAACTTGGAGGAATTTGTGACCCCGACAGATTTATTGTGCACCAGTCTCCATTTTGTATACATATTTGCCAGCAGGAATTAAACTTACAACCTCTCAGACATGGGCTCAACGCCCTACCAACCAAGCTATCTCGGCCCTTAAAGTCTCCTTTAATCGCCACAATTGAAGGACGTAATTTGTCATAATATTAAGCATATTATTATTTAAGTAATTATTTCCACATTATTAATTAATTATTAATTATGTTAGTGAAAGAATATGCAGAATTAGAATATCAAAACTATTCTATTAGTGCGGTGAGACTGCATTTGATTTTTGTGAGATACTTCTTGTCTCTTTTTTTTTCTCAATAAAAGTGGTTGGTCAGAATTTATCGAAGTTTGTTGTTTGTGGTCGTTCAAATATTAAATAAATATGTTTTAGGCAATTCTAGACTCCCCCTCCCTTTTATAAGCAAATCACAAACCTCCGGTCATGCTTACTCAGGAACGTTGCAATACCCTCCCTACTACCTTTTTTTTTGTTTGATTTTTATTGTTGTAATCTAATTTTAAGATTACATTTAAGTAAAAGATGTAATTTTTCACGAAACAAGATGAGCATTTTCATTAATTCTATAAAACTTTAGTTTGAATATTCTTTAGGAATAGTTTTGTTATTCTTCTGTGATCAAAACTCTTGACCGCTGAAAGAATTTTTTCCTGCTTAGTTTCCAAATTTGAAATTTTTCTACATCAATTTTTTTTGTATATTTGGAAAATTTCAAAAGTAAGAGAAATTTAATATCTTATAAAAGCCTTGCTTGTACCCCTTCTTCCCTTCTTGTCAATAAAAATAAGCAAATCAGTGAAATCTCTTCCCCTGTTTGGTGCTTATGTAATATTTGAAGGGCCCGTTTCTCACTTAAATATTAATTTTTGACCCATTATGTGCATTTTTTATTACAATAAAAAAAATACTCTAAAGGGGGTAATTACAGTTCACTCTGTAAAAAATTAATGATTGAAGCTTAATGACACTGGTTGGTGAAAGAAAAAAGTTGAATATGTATTCATATATATGTTGTTTTCATTTATAGCCAATGTCATCAAAGAGCTAGAAGAAAATTTGAATATGGTTGAGCAGATTGATGGATATTTAAAAATAGCACGTTCATTTCCTTTGGTTTCATTGAATTTTTTGAAGTCTCTTACTGTTATTAAAGGTGACACATTAGATAAAAAAGAGTAAGTTTATGAATTTTATTGTTAAACATCTAGATAAAAAAAATATCTTGTGTAGTATTTTATATCTTTTAATATATAAGTACTAATTTATAGAAATGTTAACACTTGTGTAGCGTTGCATTTTCTTTATATCTAACTCTAATATCATCGCAATTATATCCTTGAAAAGTAATTATTAAATATATTGTAAAAATATAAGCATGTCTTAGTTTTCATTTCATTTTTGTTTCTCATTTAAACATAATTTTTGTTTTAATCTTTGTTCTTCAAATTTATTTAATGAAATCTATTTCTTTATTTGGGGGTGCTCAAAATTTAAGTGCGCAAGGTCCTATTTAAAGATGTTTTTAATGTAAAATAATTTTATTTTATCCCTATACATATAAAATATAAGTGTCTTAAATATCAGTATCATAGATCTCGGTATACCAAAAATATTATCAATATAATTTTTCATCTTGTCAAAAATTTCATTGCTGAAATTTTTCTTTAAAAAATTTTTTTTTTTAAAAATACGACTTTATTTTGTTTGAAATTTGTAATTATTATATTTTGGTTGAAAATCACGACAAATAAAACTTATGTAAAACCTTTTTGTAAAAACTTATGAAAAAATTTCTTGTATATATGCTAAAATGACAGATCAATGAAATGCATAATTATTTATTTATTTTTTTTTGGAAAATTAGTTGAAACAATTTTAAGTAGTTCTAATAATTTTTATTAAGTATTTATTAAGAGTAAAGTAATTTTAAAGTTAACAGTAGTGCAATAGCGCTTTGCCGCACTGAAATGAATGTATGTGTGGGGTGGTACGAGGAAAATATTAACGAGTAATTTAAATAACTGACAATCAAAGAGTTAACAGAGATTAGGATGATTGCTAGTAAGGCGAAAATAATTATACCATCTACTAAGTTCTCCTAGAAAGATTTTTGAATAATGCTTATATGGGAAATTGTTGGACTCTCTGATGCTTCCCCATACATATATTTATTTATATATAAATGTATCTTTGTATGTATATACTTGTAAATTATTTACATTATTTATTTACATTTATGTTACAGCTACTCTCTGTTAGTATTGGACAATCAAAATTTGCAAGAGCTCTGGGATTGGAAATTACGCACCAATAAACTGAAAATTTTAAATGGCAAAATATTTTTCCACTTCAATTCTAAACTGTGTCCAAGTAAAATCCAAGAATTAAAAACCTATGCTGAAGTAGCTGATTGGGATGAAAGAGATGTATCACCAAGCTCCAATGGTGACAGGGTTGCATGTATGTTTTGTTTACATTTCCTTATATAAATTTGAATGCAATTTCCCTCACAAAGTACTTTATTGTGTCGCTGTAAGTAATTTTGTAATGAAATTATTTTTGTACTCAAATGGTGCCAGAAAATAGAGTTATCTAAAAAACTCTAGTAGTAAATGTCCAGCAGTGTGCTGATCGTTAAGACACGGTGCCCTTTGAGATCACCGAAGTCGAGCATCACTGACTGCGGTCAGTGTGCGGGTGGGTGACCACTTGGATCAGTCTGCTTTGGGACCGAGGGTGCATAGTATCGATCCTTGTTAAACTGTTGTACCGTAAAGTGCTCGATTTCGCATGCTGGTCGTCAGACTACCGAAGCAGGGGTGCCATCTTCTCTGCAGAGGATCAAAATTGCGATGGCATGTCTTCAGATCACCCTCGGGGATGTTTCCCAGACCGTCGCCAATACCCCATTGTGCAGCTCTAGTGCGACATAAATGAACTACAACAACAACTCTAGTAGTAAATGTAATTGAAGTTAGTGTTATGAAATATAACTATTGAGCTTTGTGAATAGACTCAGGGTGCATAGCAGTTTTAAAAAGTGCGTAAAGGTACTTATTTTCGATTTTTAAAAGCCCTTAAAGGTGTTTTTTTCATTGAATGTTTTTGAAAAGTGCTTAATTTTCCCTTTTTCAAAATGAGATTCTTCCTTTACGATGTTGATTTTCACTACAAATTATTTAAAACGACACAGTTCACATTGTTCTATTCAACGTTTTCACAATTAATTCAACCCCAGTCTATTTCAGCGGATTGTCAGCCGGTAGCGTATGAAAACGCCATTCGTTTTTGAAAACTTCATGATTTTTGACACAATTGTCAAAAACGATGCCAAAAGTTTTTTTTTCTTTTGGCATGGCGGTTAAAACAAGATAAAACCGCCAATTGTCAAAAACTTTCCGACCCTGCCTTGTTATGATATTTTTTTAAAGTACTTAAAAATATTTTTTGGTGCTTGAAAAGTGCTTAAAAGGTGTTTATTTTTTGTTGAATAATTTGGATATGCACCCTGAGACTAGGTAGAAATATTTTGAAACTTAATTTTTCCAAAAAAGACACATTATGATTAGAGGCTGCATTTATTAAAATTTTTTTGTATAAAATTTTTTGAGTTATACCCTCTAGTTAATTACAGGATAACATAATTTGGCTATCCTGAACTGATTCAATTGGGTATCTGCAACTTGGGAAGAAGACTGTTAAAATCAGCTGGTTATGCATAAATAAGATAGCGTGTTAATATTACAGCTGTAATCGTGATATAAACAAATGCCACGATTCAGCAGCGAATCAGGTTTAACGCTACTCTTGCAGGCACTCAATTGATGAAAAATTCTAATGTAACTTTCCTTTCCAAATTATTTTATTTTTTTATTTATTTTAAACTTTTTTGGTGCAAAAATAATACATTAATTTATTATCTCTTTTTCTTACTAGGCGATGTAACTAATATGAATGTAACAGTAAGAAATGCTTCACCTTCTATTGTAACTGTAAAATGGGATAGTTTTGGAAAAAATCTTATTGATGATCGGTCACTTTTAGGATATGTGATATATTACCGAGAAACGTAAGATATTGTTATTTTTTTCTTATATTCATCATTAAGATGTGAAAATCTCTTCTATAATTTACTTTCATTTTTATTTAAATATAGCTACTGCATGTAATTTTTTAAGATGTAATTTTGTTACAAATTTAATAGTTTGGTGAAAACAGTAAACTGTCTAAACAGTAAACTTTCTAAGTTTGCTAAACTATTTTTTTTGTGATATAATTATTTTTATACATTATATTGCTTGTATTTTTGTTTGGTAACTCCTTTAATAACATTGAGTTTTAAATATTTATTTTGTAAAATCGTACTTGTCTGTCACCAATTGTAGACAAGATAAATGGACATTATCAGTGTGGTTTCTGAAAAGGAAATCTGCAATGGATTAAATCTGCACAATTTGACAAACTTTGAAGAAATATGGAGAGTTTTGAATTGAGTTGGCATTATCTTTTTGTAGATTTCAAAGTGGTTTATGACAGTTTTAGATAGAAATGAATTATTGAAAACCTTGTTTAAGCTTAATGTACTCTCAAAATTGGTGAACCGTGTTGGTCTCACTATTACTGGCACTGTCTTTGAGGTTTAAATTCAAGGTGAACTACAAAAATCCTTTAAAATAGTAAATGATGTGAGACTTGAAGACTCTCTTTCTTGCCTCTTATTAAATGTAGCTTTGAAAAAGTAACTAGAGATACCATTATTAATACAAGAAGTACAATTTTTAGGAGAACCATACAGATTTAAGCATATGCAGATGATATAGATTAAATAATAAAATCTGTAATAGTACTACAGGAATCTTTTTTTGCACTTGAATCTGTTGCTAAGAAAATGAATTTTTTAGATAAAATAAAGAAGATAAAATAAAAATACATTTGTTGCAGTAAAGCAGTAACTCAAATGTTCCTTTGAAATTAGAAATCATACATATAGAACATTTCACTTATTTGAAATCTGATGTTAATTGTCAAATTGAAGATAATGTGGAAGTAAGAGAAATAATTTGTCGGCAGCTAATTGATCCTTTTATGAACTTAGAAGCCTCTTCAAGTCCCACTTAATCAAAAGAAAAACTAAGTATTATTTTACACTAATGATTTTATGAGTGTCATAAAATCATTTTCACATATACTTCGAAAACATAGAACCTTGCAAGAAAAAAAGTTAAATTTTTTCTCTCAATATTTGCAAGAAGAATCTTTAGAACTATCTTTGTTAGAATTTTTGACAATGTATGGAGGAAAAGATACAACTTTGAATTATGCAAGCTATATAAAATTAATGACATCATGAAATCAATCAGACAAAACAGAATGTGATGGACAGGCTATCTGCTAAAAATAAAGTCTTCAATGTCACTCCCTATAATAAAAGGCCAAGAGGAGGGGGGAATGATGGATAGACTGTTTAGAATAAGATTTTTTCTATAATTAAAGTAAAGAACTGTTGTACAGTTACATGCAAAAGAGTGGACTGGAAAAATCTAGGCCCTTCTATTGTGCCACTAATGATGATGGAAATCATACTTGTGATGTGTGTTGTAAATTTTTTTAAATATTTTTTGTTACAAAAATAAAAAAGTATATATTTTTTTTTTATTATCTTTGCATTCGGAGTTTTTATTTTAATTATTTTCTCAGACACCTAATCAATATTAATGTTTATGTTTTTGAATTCATTTTTCAGCAAGAAGCATTAAAAAATTCCTTAAAATTTATTTATTTTAGACTGTTCCGGAATATTTCAATATTTGAAGGGCGAGATGCATGCGGAACTGATGCGTAAGGATTTATACATTTGATTAATCTTTTCGTTTAGTAATTATTACATAACAACCAATCTGTTGTTAATTTTCTATTTTAAAATGCATTTATTTTTCCCAGGTGGACTGTCAGAGATGTAGAATATGTAGAAAATACGAACAATTTCATAATTCATAACATTACCGGTCTTAAACCTTTCACCCAATATGCACTTTATATTCGCACTTACACCACTGCATCTGGAAGACAAGGTGCCCAAAGCTCCATCGTGTATTTCAAAACTTTATCTAACAGTAAGTTAATAGAATTTTATATATATTAAATAATAAGCTAAATAAATAAACATTTGCTTCATTTTAAATTTCAATTAAATTAAATATTTTGTTTAAAAATTAACTTTCTAAGCTTTTTTTTTCTATTGAATAAAATACTGAGCGACTCTTTTTAAAATCAACTAGATCTCACCAAAGCATACATTTCAGAATAGCAATAAAATGATTAAAACAGTTTTTAATTTCTAAATATTTTTAAATGTTTATAATTGAATTTATGAGCACAATAGTTTTCCATACTTATTAATTTCTATAAAATTAATTTTGTTTGTAAAATTACATTTTTTTATGTGTTAGGGAATTTAATATATTTGATTTGCTGCCTAGGAAAAATTGTGATAACAAATTGATGTTAATTTAGATTAGTTTTTCATGAAAGTAACATCAAATAAACAATTATTTTTTATCTTGTTTTTCTTCAAGACAGTAAAAAAAACATTTTGTTTTCTGATTCTGTTATATCTAATGACTCAAGACTTTTCTTTCACCAGACATAACATGACATGTCTTTATAAAAACTGGGATACTTGAGAATTATTCAGTGTTTTAGAAGAATATTTAATACTGATATTGTATTAAATAATATAATTCAGTGAAATCATAAGAATTTGCCCAGGCTTTTAAAAATATTTTTATAAAAATACAAATGTTATCAAAGTCTGGGCATTACGCAATATAATGCAACACAAATGATAGTGTACAAGTACATTGTAACATTTTTGTTAGTAAAAATATGCAATTGTAAATTGTTACACTTATTTTTTGTTTTTGATTTCTTCATTTTCAGTCTTTAGAAAACAATAAATATTAGCAATTCTCCAAAATGACAATCAAATTGTTCTCAGTTCCTATTGCTACCTACCCCTAAGGAAGAGCTTGCCATTGTTCATACGTTAAGCTGTAAGCAGAATTCTTGCACCTTAATTTGCAACTAACTTTTAAGCGTCACTTTCTTCCAAAAAAATAAATAAATAATAAATTATGTTTTACAAAATCTTTGAAAGGAAAAAGTTATCAGGCAGTAGTAAACAAAAGAAGAGATTGATGTATATTAAATATATGAATTGAGGTTGTGTTTTTTATGCACATTTAACCATTTTGTATTCCTCTAGCTCCTTCACCTCCAGTTAATATTAAAGCTAGATCCACAGTACATAATGAAATAGTGGTATCTTGGAAGCCCCCCAAGAATCCGAATGGAAATGTTACTTATTACATTGTTGAAGGGTTGTATGAAGAAGATACCTCCTATTTTATGTATCAAAGAAGAAACTATTGTTTAGAGCGTGAGTTACCTTTTTTGTTACTAAAGCTTATTTCAAGTAGAATTAATTTTCTATGATTTGAGTAGCAGAAAATAATAATTTAATTTTATGCTATTATGAATTCAGTTTCATATAAATTATGCGAGTTTATGATTTAATTTATTTTATTGTATCAGTTTTGATGATTTACAATTTTTAAAAACTTTTAAATTCACAGATATTTTTTTTTTCTTCAACTATTTTCATTTGAAGAGATCAGGTAATCATTGATTCAGTTTTCTGTAGCTCACCTGATATCTAAAGAAGTGAAAATAGGAAAGCATATGTCTTGAAAATTTTTGTGTTAAAGCATATATTTAACCTTCGTAATATGTTCAAGAACTTTTCTTCTTTTTTTTTAAGTCAAATTACATAGAAAATTATTAAGGCTGTGTTTATATGTTGGTAAATTAAAATGTAAAATATGAAACCTAGCCAATTCAATAGCATAGTTTAAAAGTTTTTTTTTTTTTTTATGTTTAAATTTTGCATTTTAACAGATGTTGCCAAAAAATGAAATGACTTTATTCTTTTTTAAATATTTTCTGTGATATTTATTAACTAAACATATTTATAACAAAATAGTTTATTTTACATAGATGCATTATTTGCATTTTATAAATTTATCACTGCATTAAAAAAATATCTTTGAATTGATAATACCTGCAAGGTGAAATATTGTATACAAACTATAGATGAAACAATTATTTTATTACAATTATATTTATCTTCTTGATGTTCTACACAATAACTTATTCTTATTTTGTGTTCATTTTTAATATTTATTTACTTATTCTATTATTTTGATTTTAGCTATAGCCTACCCAGATTACAGAAAAAGTATTTATGATGATGAATCAACGCAAATAGGTTATTTTGAAAATGTAACATCATCTTCTGAGTCCACAGAGAACGAATGCTGTTCTTGTTCAAAGGATCAACATAGATTAGGAGATGATGACGAAGAAGCAGAATCGCAAATTCATTTTGAAGACTTTCTACAAAATAAAGTATACATAAGAAAGTGAGTTTATTAATTGAAAGTGTTTTGCAAGATTCATACTCCGTTTTTTTTTTTTTTTTTTTTTTTTTTTTTGCCATGGCCAATTCAGTAGCAGATCAAATTTTCTTTTATATTTTTATTTGTGTTATTCTTATTTCTACTAGGAAAGTGCTTATATTCTAATCACTTTTGTTTCTTCTCATTCGTGTCTGGCAAGTCTTGAGAATGGGCGCCTATTTTTGAGTGCTTAAAACATGTCGACTGTTTTTTTTCCAATCTGTATATTTTGAAGAGAATAAAAATTAATCTAATAAGGTTTCAATTTGGTTTGAATAAAAATCTTATTTTTTTCTTCCTAAGAAGTAATTTTTTTTTTATGTGTCAATACTAATTCATTATGAATTTAACAACTATATTCTGTAAATATTCTTTCATTTACTTTTATTATATTTTATATGATTTATTTTGCCTCTTTTTTAAAAAAAAATACTGTTGCATTAATATATATATAAAAATATTTAAGGCATTGTTTTTGATAATTGACAGTATGTGATGCCCATAAACCACTGAATCCTCTAAACCTGCAGAAAAAATATATATATAGTGTTAATAAATCTGGGATTTTAATTTTTGTCAATGTTCTGTTGTTCCTTTCATTCGTGTTTTAAAGAAAATTTTGCAAAAGGCAGTTGTCAGTTTGCTAAAGAAATAACAATCCTATGTTTCTCACATTGCTACGCAATCTCTTTCAAATGTATTACAAACTGCTACAGAGTTGCTTCATTATAAACTGCTACAAAAAGCATGGAAAGGAAAGTTTTTTTTTAAATTTTATAAATGTCTTCAAAACAATTTTTAAAATTTTTCTTTTCCTAATGATAAAAAAAAATAATGTTGCTAGTTTTTTTCCATTTGAATAAAAAGTAATTGTGTTCGAAGTAATTATATTCATTTACTTTGAAAAAAAATTTTCTTTCATTTAATTTTGAAAAAGAATTAGTTTTTATAAAACATTCTTGAGCATTAAATGTTTTTTTTAAGTAAAATATATGTGAACCATGGTATACAAATTAAATGCATTATTTTATTCTTTTTTTCTCTTATTTTTCTTCATACATTATAGTTTGCACCAATAACTTCTTTTTTTTTCTGTCAAAATGTAAGCTATGCTTTATTATCAATTAAAAAATATTCTCTTATAAAAACTTACTTATTTTAATTTTGAGAAATTTAATATCTTGTCTCTTAAAATCTATAATTATGTTAGTTTTTTTTAGTTAGTTAGTTAGTTTAGTTAGTTAGTTTAGTTAGTTAGTTTAGTTAGTTAGTTTAGTTAGTTAGTTGTCAAAATATAGAGTAAAATTTTTAAAAGGTTTCATTGTTTCACTTTTAATCAGTTTATCTATCTATACTCTAAAGATTTATGGTATTGACCAAACTGCTTTTATTCTGCATAATAAATATTTAACACTTTTAACAAAGTTTTGTTTTCCTTTTTCTACAGTCCTAATAGTTATAAAGTCAAAAGACATATAATGGAATTTTTAAGCGATGGTCCTGAATCAAGTTTTAGCAGCACTTCTCCTGCCTCACAATCTGGAGATGAGGTGACTCAGTATAAAAATGGAAATCTTCTGCACTTCAAAGAAGTAGTGCGCCATAATCCCTTCTTGGTTGTTACCAACTTGAAACATTTCACTGAATACACTATTGAGGTAATAAATGTGATTGTGATGTATTTTAACTGTTTAGATATTATTTGATAAGATATTATTTGTGTTCAATGTATAAGCATATTAGGTTGAAGTTTACTTTTCCCTAACAATTGAAAACTACCCTCTTAATTGTAGCTTAGAAATTAGTTACAAAACTTTTGACAGTGTGGTCCTGTGTATATTTGACATTAAACAAATTAGAATACTAAACAAATTGTGAAGCTAAAGCTTCGAAGTCTCCGGGTTTCTTCCAACAGAGAGCAAGTTTCTGGAAAACCTTGGGAGAGCCTTCTGGCATCCTGTCTTCCGAAAATGTTCCTGCTATCGGTGTTTCATCTTGCTGATTGTTGACTGGACACGATTACTTACAGACACACTTGTCTTTCTGACTCTCCTAACTGTACTCTGTGTATAAATAGGGCCCATATGAATGACGAGCATCTATGGAACTGCTCTGCCCTCCAGGAGGCCCGTAATTCTTCTAGTTTCAAGACGCTCTCCGCCCCTGGAGATATTTCTTTGTTATATTGGACTGCAAGACTTCTCATGCTCGAGAGAGCAAATGATGGACGTAATTAAAAAAATAATAATAAATAAATATTTGACATGCTAAATGAACCGTTAAACTGGACTTCAACTTTTTTGTAATTTTGATTTACAAAAAAAAAAAAAATCTGAAATAATAAGCATTATTTTTAATTATACGCCTATGATCACAGTGTGTTTGTGGCTTATTTGATTTTAAAGGAAAAGAGGGTCTAGCATTTGAAAATTATTATTTTATCAATTTTTATAATCTTGTTATTTATTTTTTATTATATTTACTCTTTTTCTAACACTTGGATAAATAAACTATTTGAATACATTTAAAATTGAAATATCTTTTTACTATATAAAAATAACGATGGTATGTGAAGAATGTTTTCATGTCACTTTGTGTAATTTATTCTTTACCAAACTTAGATCATGTGTTTTTTTTTATTAGGTTCGTGCCTGTCAGGATAAATCTGAAAAAAATATTGAACCATGCAGTATCAAAGCAATTACAAGTGTAAGAACTTTGCATTTAGGTAAAACATATTTCAACCTTAACTAGATTTGAGTATATATGTATTTTTGGTTATATTGGAGTTGCAAATGGTGCTATATTTTGTATAACTTCAGTATATATTTCTCTTATGTGCACAATAAACTCTAGTATTTTTCTATCTATTGGCAACACTATAGTTATTATTCATTTTGTTAGGTTGTCTTGGGTAATAATTTAAGTGGTAGTGAATAGTTTGTCAAACTTTTTACTTAGAATAATTTTGTATTTTTATAAAAATAAAAACTTACTTACAAAGTAACTATTTAGATTTGTTTTTTAGCCTTTCTAAAATGGCTTTAAAAATTTTAAACATAAATGGTGCCATAATGCTGCATACTGTCATACCAATTATTGGTGAAGCAACTTGCCTTTCTTGACCAATAGCATATATTTACCTGCTAGTTTAAGTTTCATCCAATTTTTCTTTCATTATTTTTCTATGCATTAATAAGACTAGGCATTTATAGCAGTCATGAAATCTTTACCTTACTTCTGTTTTCATGGCTTAACATGCTAGTTTGAGTTATACAATATAAATGCTTTGAAGTTTTACAATATCAATGCTTTTGCATCAAAAGGTTTTGCCTTTTTACTTTAAATGTTTGTTTGAATTTATTTAAGTATATTCTTCTGATTATTTATAGCTGGTGCTGATGATATTAGAAGTAGCAGTGTGCACATCCTTACAGAAAATGTAACAGCCTACTCTTCTTTTATTCGCTGGGAAGATCCTAAAGATTCCAATGGTGTTATAGTAGCTTTTACAATAGAGTACAAAAAAGTTAACGGGGAAAATGTAAGCCATCTGTTTATATTAATTAGCTTACAACATATATTTTTACCAGTCATGTTTTGTAATGTAATTTATAATCCAAACGTAAAATTGTTTATTTTAAGAAAATTATAGCTTTAATTATTTGCTATTTTTAAACAGTCTGTGTAAAAAATATTTCCAGCATCATATAATGTTGTACAATAAAATTTTAGAAAAAGGTTTTTCTGTTTTCCATTACTAATGTTTTTTGATGTCATATTTTTTGTTATTTACAGTAATAAGCTCTTAGCTGAAATATTTTTTTTTGTCGATAACTTTAGAGATCTCCTTTTTTTTCCCCTTTAAGTCGTATTATGTTTTTGGATTACTTTTTTTTTTAAAGAAATTACTACAACCCGCAATGTTTAACTATAACTGTTGAATGCATCACTTTTACTCAAACCAATGTTTTCAAATTTTTGTCATAATTAAAGAGTTGATATTGTACAAAGTTAATGTTTGGAAGGGGAGACAGGGAAATAATTTCAGAAGCCAGTAAAAATTTCTTTCAAAAAGAGAAGTGTTTTTTTTTTCATTAATTTTTTAAAACAAATAGCAGAATATTCCTTTATATATTGAATAAATAATAATATAAACCATTATAATACATTTAGTTTACAACTAAAGCAAGTTATAAATTGAATAAATTTATAAAAATAGGTATTCCAAAATCTCAGTGTAAACGACTAGAATTTTTAAAAAGCTCTGTTATAACAAAATATTAAAAATTTTTCATGTTTGAAAAGAGAGGAGCCTGCAGTGAATTTCCATAAAACATGTGCTTTGAACTTGATAATGTTAATTGTGTTACCATTTTTAAAACTTTTGTCACAGTTAAAAGGCCACCCTAGGATTAAAAAATTTGTTATATAAAAGTTACTGAATTTTTTACGCATTAACATAACGAATGTTATTACTGATATTTTTAGGTGAAATATACTGAATTATGTTACATTTCTGTATCATCTTTTGTAATTTATAGTGCTGTAATATAATCCTATATAGCGTTTGTTTAAATTGTTTATATTCAAATATAAATATCTATTATTTTTATTTTAAATAAATGTAAATTTTTACAGCACAAAGCTAAAAGAATTTGTGTGACAAAAGATCAATTTCATCAACATGGAGGTTATTTTCTTTCTGAACTACCCCCTGGTAATTATTCTCTTCGAATTAGAGCAACATCTATGGCAGGCCATGGAAATTGGACAAGTCTTGTTTACTTTCATATAGTTGCTGCTTCTGGTAAGAGTAATTTAAACATGTGTGCTAATAGTAAACTGTATGACCATTTCATTTCAGCTGTTCTATGCTTTATATTTCGGAAAATGTGTGACAGAACTTGCAAGCTAAATGTCTCATAAAAGATTATAAAACTTAAATTGCAATCACAGATAATATATGTAAAGAGTTTCTGCTCGAATGCTAGAACATATAAAAAGCTTTTTTTATCAATGCATGCCTAAAAGGCAGCACTCTGGCGATAATGATTTCAGTGCCAGGCTATAGAAAAAGCTTGATTACTAATTAGATAGATTAGTTTATATTTTACGCATAGATGGCGCCCTACTCATAGTTTATGCTACCAAAATTGTTCTGTTGTAAAAAAAAAACTTGTCGCAAAAGGGTTAAATGTTGCTAGAGAGCACAGGGCCCATGTAGTCAGAAACTTTCAGAAAAGTGTCAGATTTAATTGGTTTTAAATATGTATTTTTAACGCTTACCATTTAAATCATATTGAATGCAAATTTAAACAAATTAAATAAAATAAAAGATTTTAATACAAAACATATTATATTTTAATTTCTTTTATCTCTAAATCTGACTCACCAATACAGTAGTCTCGAAAATCCGAGGTAATTGGGGCTGACACTACCTCAGATTACTGAAAACTCGGATTTTCCGAAAAAGTAGAAATTTTTTAACAATTACAAATGAAATTAAATAAAATGAACATATTACCTTAAAATCCTTTATTCTTTAGTATAATGACGTAAAAGATTCTTTACAATTTAAAAAAATTGTCCATTTTTTGTTGCTTCAGTGTATTACTTCTCTTTGTTGATGCGATAGTCAGCCAACGCTTCAAAAGCAAAACATCTGCAGGGGTGGCTTCAGTTTGCTGTTCTACATATTTTAAGGCTAGTTCTAAGGCTGCAGAACCTTCACTATGAGATATTTTTTTCTTCTAATAACGGAGAGTCGTTTTCTTTTGTTTCATATTCTTCCTCATCTTCCATCATTTCTATAATACTTGAGTCTGTTATTTCCAGCTTGTCGTCACTATTTAGCTATTCATTTAGATCAACTGCATTAGAGTTTTCGCAGCCTGGTAATTCCTTCACCAAATCTTTCAAAACAATTGTTTCACTATCATCATCATTAATTTTCTCAATAGGCGTAACCAATTCAGGTAGAAACTTAGTCCACGATTTAATTACTGTCGTAGGTTGAACTTCTTCCCAAGAATCTGCTATCCAGTAGACAACATCTCTCAGACTTACATTCCTCAAAACATCCGCAACACTTTCATCATCAGACTGAACTAAATGTTGTAACAAACGGTGTCGATATTTTTTCTTTAAATTTTCCAATACGCCCTGATCCATTNTATAAAGTACTCTCATTGATATTTTTATTAAAATGTTGATAACATTCTGCGGATAAATGCTTCCTACATACACTTTTTTTCTAGCTCAAGTTTCGGGTATTTTTTCAATTATTTAAAAAGTGTAGTTGTACTTTTCTATTTTCAGTTTTTTTTGTTTTTTACCCAACTGATCCATGTGATATGAATCAATGTACCTCTGTACAAAGAAATTTTTTTTAAAATAATAATTTAATTTCTAACAGATTTTACCAAATTGAGGTGGTGACGAAAGAGTTCAAACTAGTTAGTTACAAGAGTTAATCAACATCAATAGAAAGTTTTCCATTTTACCAAACTCTGCTTGAATTATTGATTAAACACGGGAAACAAAACAATTTTATAAAAACTTTAACAACCATGACGAAGTAGAAATTAAAAAAATTTAGTCACACTACTCAAGTATACATTTTGAAAAATACATTCATATACATCCATTCATGGAAAATACATTCATATACACATTCGTTCACAGATCGTAATTTTGACATGCACCACAGAACGGTCAATCACCAATTCAGTACCCTTAGACAGTGTTTTCACTACAGCGCGAGAACGCGAGAATCTCGCATATTTTTTTATATTCTCGCATTAAAAAATGATAACCGCGAGAAATTCGCGCATTCTATAAACCTATTTCAAAATTCGCGAATTTCTCGCATTTTGAAAAAAATTTCTCATTTGCGCCATTTAGAATAAAATCCGTTTCACTTTTCTTCCTGGATCTTTTATTATTTTCAAAATCTGCCCCATTATCTAGCTTCCATATTTACCAGTATTGTTCAGAAACTTTAAGAACAACAGTACACCATCCTTCCGAACCACGGAACCTCTTTCAGAACGCATTTCTCTGCAACCACGTGTTTACCGTAGGTAAGGTTTCTTCATGTAAGATGTTCAAATTTTTTGCTCGTTAATGTAAGATGGACAAATACCTTGTAAAACCAATATCTTCTACTCCGAAACGGACAAATGAAAATGAAACAAATGTGGGTAGAAACGATCGAAACGAAACAAATACGCATTTGAGCACCTAATGAGAATAGCTGATGAAAAAGTAGATGTAGAACATTTTCTATATGATGATGCTGCAAAAATATATTTAATGCTTTAAAAATTAGAATATATTAAAAATGCATTGTGATTAAAGAAATGATTTTTTTTCCAAGTCTCTTGGTGTTTTTCTTTTTTTAATTTTTGAAGTCTCACTTAACTTTTTGAAATCTCACTCTGTTTTTAAGAAAGGGTGAGAAATTCTCTCCCATTTTTTTTCTGAGATGAAAACACTGTTTTCATGAAGAAACTTTATCAATAATATCATCAAAGTTGATTATTTCAAATTTTTCTCTTTCTACACTTAATGCTAGGTCACTTACGCGATCTTGACCCATCATTTATCGTAGATATGTTAAAATTAATTTTAATTTGCTGAATGAACGTTCGCAGCTAGCAGTTGATACTGAGATAGTCAGGAGTATTTGAAGTGTCACTCTCAGGTTTGGAAAAACATCTTCTCCATAGGAAATTATAAAAGTACGAAATTCTAATGGAGTTTTAGGTTCAATTTCTTATCTACTGCGGAGTAACATTTTGCAGTCACATATTTCGATAAAGAGTTCTAATCCATTGAAATCTGTATAATAAAATTCACCCAAATTTGTAAAAAAAATTTCAAGGTCATTATCAACATTATCCTTATTTAATAATTTTTCAATGTCTAGTAGAATTCCAAATTTGAATTTAAGGTCACTTAATCGTATACATATTTCTTGTTGTAGGCGATCAAGAACGCTTTTCATGACGCGAGAAATTTCATTTTCTGTGTAAAGACCAACATATCTAGCCAATTCTCCGAGCATTTTGCGGCATCTTCTTACACATATTCTTGTATCAATATCCCATTTTTCACAAAGAGACTTCGCCTTTTCTATTGCCTCTTCACGGAGCTTATCTCAAATTTCGGGTAGTTCAGTTGCTAATGATTCAAGATTATTGAAAACTTCTCTAAAATTCATTCTAGGATCTTGTAATCTGAGCTGTACACGATAAATCCTCCTTAGGATTTCATACCAGAAATGAACTAAAGTTATAAAACTAAAAGTTAGTATATTTGGCAACAGAATTGTAGCTTCACTTCTGGTGTCACTTGTAGTGGTAATGGCCTCTGCCAATTTTTCTAATTGTTCTACTCTATTCTCTAGCCCATCAGCGCTAACGCTAACAGCTTGTATTCCGCCAATCCATCGTGTTTCAGATTCACGTTTGACACTTTTTGTTTAAGCACTTTTTAATAATTCCCATTGTAATGTTGAACGTGAGAAAAACAGATATATGTTTTCAATTATTCCAAAACATGTCAAAACGATTTGATCTTATTTAGCTGCAGTAACTCCTACTAAATTCAATGAATGGTTATCACAATTTACAGATAATGCTTTATGATTTTTTTCCACTATTCTTTGTTGAAAACCAGATGTGTGACCCGCCATCACGGCAGTATTATCGTAACATTGTGGTCTGCAGTTTGTTAATGAAATTTCATCAGAATTTAATTTCTCTAAAATTGTATTTTCGATCGAGACTGCATCTTTAGCATGTATTTCAATAAAACCCAAAAAAGATTCTTTGATGGAAACTTTTTTATTCATAAAATCAACATCTACAAACGACTTGGGACATTTGTTCTCAGTGAGAGATATCAGGAGTTGAATCAAACAAAAGTCCATAATATTTATTTCTTTTGATATCGTTTATTAGTTGATTTCGAACTGTAGATGCCAGAAGATGAATGAATTCATTTTGGATCTGTGTTGACAAATATGAGACAGTTTTTAGAGTTTTTATGGCATGTTTAAGATGATTTGCTAGTAGCGGATCAAACTGAGCTACAAGTCTAAGTAAAGATAATAGGTTTCCTACTTTTGTACCAACTTGAAGTGCTAGTTTTTAAACATGGCTTCATTATTTGTTTTATTACTTACCAAGAATGCCTTGAACTTGAAAGGTAGTAACACAGGGAAATATACATTAGAATTTATGCTAACATTAAACTTATAATATATAATACTTAATAACATTTCATTTTTATTCCAAGCAGAGCGTGATGACAAGGACGCAAAACTGAAAAATACACACACAAAATAACTTAAACATTAATATTTCGGGTATTTCCCTAATTTGTTGCCGACTTCCACAACCTGTCGTAAGTGTCTAAGATACGTACAGTCACGGGAAAAAGTATCCGGAAGGTAACAAAGAAGGAATCGTTTATTTTTTAATACTGATATTTCTCAGGCACACAACAAATACGGCGTTTGTGTCCTTTCCTAGAAACGGCAAAACGATGTATTTGTTGTGTGTCTCTTTTCGATCTTTTTGTTGTTATTTTTCAGCTACTTTTTTCCGTGTACATATAAGTACATTAGACTGTACATATAAGTACATTAGAGTGTTATTGTTATCGTTTTAACAAGCGTAAGCTACATTGCGTTTATGGAAATAAAAATAAATATTGTTCTGAAAGAAAGAATGTTTGTACTTTGTAAACTTCAAATATTTTTTATAACATATTGTTTCATCAGACAAATCAAGAAAGGAGATAATTTCTGTAACCACACAGCGTTGATGCCATAAGCAAGTGCTTGTCGGACACAGATCGAGTCAGCCCTGCCAGTAGACAAGACGTGCCATTTCTATTATGAATATATTATTACACTTTGAATTAGACTATTAGTGTTCCTTTTTATTTATGAATTAACATTTATTATATTACACTGGCACTAAAATTAAAATATGTTTTCCAGAAATCAGTTATAATAAAAATAAAAATTATACAGCAATTTTTGCTTTTCGGACCATTTGGCGCCCCTTTGTGAGTAGCTCCCGGGGCATGATGCCCTCCCTTCACTACGCCACTGCTTTAGTGATGTTTTTTAAGGCTCTAGGTTTGGCAGATTTCCCAATCACAGTCAGTTTCATTTTATGATTTCCAGATGCATTGGCGCATGCTAAAATGGTTAATCGTTCCTTCCGTTTTTTGAGACCTGAAGCTGAATTTTCCTCTTTTGAAGCAAGGGATTTTGAGGGCAACAACTTAAAGTTCAAACCTGTTTCGTCACAGTTATATAACTGGTCAGGTGTGAGCTTTTCCGTCAATATAATGTCTTCAATCCGTTTTTGAAATGCCTGCACAGCTGACGTATCTGCCGAGAGTATTTCACCGCAAATATTTAGTTGACGTACACCATATCGTTTTTTCCAACGGTCTAACCAACCAACCCTTGCTGCGAAATCTTCTTCTCCTTCTTTGAACTGATTTCTGAAAAACACAGCTTTTTCCTGAAGAATAGGGCCACTTATAGGAGTAGTTTTGCTACGATTGTTGAGTAAACCAAAGAAATAAAGCCTTGCTAGTTTTTTCATAGTCTGATGTTCTCATAGATTTTCTTTTTTCTCCTGGAGTCTTATTGCACTTCTGTGAACAAAACTGCTCAATTTTTATTCGATTGCGGCGCCAGTCACCAACTGCTACCTCTCCAACACCCAAATCGGTAGCAACACTTTTTATTGTTTCACCTGCATCTAATCTTTTTATAGCGTTCAATTTAGTTACCATAGATACAAATTTTCTCTTATTTTTCCCACTCATTTTCGCAGCAGGCACCTTAACGCAACACTTTCAACAGCAATAAGTTTCCAAAATGATAAGGATCAAGCATGTGTATTGAGTCCCTAACTAGAATCTAAGCTACTAGTACAATTGAACTTGGAAGAATAAAATTCTTGTAGATCTGGTTTGAAAATTCCTTTCAAACCAACACCTACCTAGCCACCTTCCAACACAAAGGGAACAAAAGGTGGTGGGTTACTGAAATTCTTTCCAGGGAGAAACGAAAAATAACACCTGCATTCTTTCGGTTGCGAGAGGAAATGGGAAGAGCGCTTTTGGTTGCTAGGGGGAAAATTTGGCACCTCGAATTAAGCGGAACCTTGGACTTCTGAGACTTGAACTTTCGAGACTCTACTGTAATTAAAATAGTTATCTGACATTTTCTGAAAAGAATGCTCATTTAAATTTTGAAGGTGGTAGTGTATTACTCGATAGTAATGTTGTAAGCAAAAACTTAAATCTTGCACTAATTATTACTTTCAAATTTATATTGAAAACCACAAATTATGTTAAAGATTTTAATGAAGAAAATAAAGTCTGGAATCAAATGTTTCTTAAAACAATTTTTATTTTCTTAAACTACTAATTAAGATTTTGTTTTCAATATTTTTTATTATTACTCATAGAATTACCTATTATCCCTAAATAAATTACCTATATTATGCAGGAATTAAATGTTTTAAAAGTTTATATTTATTACCTTTAAATACTTATGGATTAAACTTTTAAAATAATATCTGCATAAATTAGCTCTATCTTTATTAAGCTTGTTATTATAACATTAGATATTTGAAATAATTGTATATTAATTATATCACTTTACAATTTCAGAAAGCTCAGCTACTGAAACCATTCTTGTTGTGGGCATAATATTGTTTCTTTGTATTGCGATTGGAACTATTTATGGTGTTTACAGATTCAAGTAAGTACTAGCTTCTTTTTATTGGATATTAAGTCGATCAAAACACAAGTTATAGGATTAAGGTTTTTTTTTTTTTTTATGTTACGAATGCTATTTAACAACAAAAAAAATTAAACTTTAATTGTATATGACTCTCTTTGTTAATTCCTGAACATTTGTTAGACATTTTAAATATGTATTTTTAATGTATAAAATATTTTCAATTAGGAGTACTTTAATATAGTTAATTTGAATGCATAAGTAGGAAAAGAGTATGGCAACCAATTTTTGTGATTTCTTCAATCTTCCTTTTCTATACAGCTTTTCTTTTTATCATTGTTTCAGTTAAAGTAACACAGTCCTGTTTATATATTTCTAGGGTCCTGTTTATATGTTTCTTATATAATCCAGTTTATATATCCTTTTTATTTATTTACTTATTTTTTTATCTTTATCTTGCATCCTTCGCAAATACTGTATTTGTGTTCTTTAGAAATGATTTTCGATTAATTTATTGTTCAAAATTTTGTCAAATTTTCTAACTATTCATGTTTTGAGTTTCCTCTTGTTTGTGGATTTTTCTTTACGGCTGCCATAATACTGTATTCGCTGTAACTCTTCTTTTTTAAATTGTATCTGTTTTCATGGGCTTTGGACAAATTCTAGTACTTTTCATCATCACAATATGTTCGTTACCTTTTTTCAATGTTTTTTTTTTAAATTGATGCCTCGCTTATTATATGTGAACACTCAACCTCTTAAATTCTATTTTCTGAGTAACTACTATTGTTAATTTTAAGATTTCACTAAATTCTTTGAGGCCTTTTGGTGTTGCCATGGATCGCCACCAAGCCTACCTTTTTGAATCCTCTTTTACTGAGAGGTCACGTGCGCACACTTAGAGTCTACAGTATTCTCCGGATGCATCCTGACGGGGGCGGGGTTAAGCTTTGATAAATATTTCTAGGGCTGTCTTTAGAAGCGAAGCATGAGCAACATTTGTGTAAAACATTAAATTCCCTTTATTGTTGAAACGTTAAAGTTTAAATAAAAATGACATTTCGACAGAAAAAGTCAACATCTTAAGTTATACAGACTTTAATTAACCACTTTCAGTTTTAGAAAAGATTGTTTTATATAAGGACATACTAACAATAACCAAAATTCTTATGGTTCTACTTTAGAAAAATTTAGGTTCAAATTTTTCTGTCCAGCTAAGACTTGTCGCATTGTAAACGCCCTTACTTTTCACTGTATGATTATGGCTAATTAAATTATGCTCTTATTTGTAAAATGTTATTTAAAAAATTTATAGTTTTGAATTTGTTTATGTGTACTGATAAAAGTTGAATTCTTACAGAGTGAAGCAAAGAATTCCGGATTATGTTGATTATGCATCAGTTAATCCAGAATATATGAGTTCTAATTTAGGTCAGTATCAAAAATCATTTCTCATATCCTAACGTATATATAGTTTATGATAGGTACTTGAATTTTTTTCCTAAGTACTATTTTAAAACAATGCTCAACTTCTTAAATGTGTAGATTAAACCTCTAATTGAGGAAACTATTTATTCCCTAGAAAAATTAAATCAGAGCTTACTGCTTTTTAAAATAATTATTAAAATAAGTTAGCTATTTAATTTAGGTCTAAAAGATGAGTTCAAGCCTTTAAATATTTTTTTTTACTTAGTTTTGTTATACATTAATTTTGTTATACATTTATGCCACTGCCAAATACGTAATGGTATTAACAATTTTGTTCATTTTTAGTGTATGTTGCGGATGAATGGGAAATAGCTAGAGACAAAGTCAAACTTTTGGATGAACTTGGCCAAGGATCATTTGGAATGGTATACAAAGGAGAAGTCCGTGATATGGGAGGAAAAGCTTTCCAACCTTGTGCTGCAAAGGTTGCAATATTTGTTTTTCATTTTTTTAAAATAAATGTTTCTTATTGTATATTATAACTTCAAAAACCCAGAAATCTTCAAAAGATTTTTCAACCGGTGCTTAAAAAAATGAGCTAAATTAATTTTAAAGTAGAGGCAAGATGCATAAATCTCTGCAATCTTAATATCATATTTAAAAAATCTAGAGGCAATCTATAGCAATAACTGCTGGAGAGGTGATTGACAAAACTATGTAAATTTAAAAGAATATTGCCATGAATCGAATGCCATTTTTAAAAATGATTACTCAAATGCGCTATTTAAAATGCATATGTCATAATAATGTGGTATTAAAATATTGAGATTTTTAAAACCATGTGAAAGTTTGTTAAATTACTTCCAACAAAAAAAAAAGAACAAAAAACCAATTGGGTTTATGATAAATTCAAATTATTTTTTATTATAATTTTGGACTTGCAGCTTGGACATTGCAATTGGCTTAAGTAACTTTTATAACCCAGAATTTTGTGCAATCCAGCTCTTCCAAACAACCATATAAACATAGTTTTAAGGTTATACTGTACCACAAAACGAGGACGTGAAATATTGACTCATCAGCTTGTCATTGGTGACTAAATATTTGGAACTGAATTATAGGTTTAGTCTCTTAAAATATTGTACTTTAAACTACTATCCCTTCTCAGAGTTTGCTGTAAACAAATATTAAAAATGGTGACAATGAGTTTTAGACTTTAAGAGGGATATATTAATAAAACATGTGCAAAGATGTACATCATAAAAAAACTAAAATCTATGTCCTCAGATGTGTTAACACCTAGGCATGTTTTTTACACCTAAATTTGCTCATAATTCTAAAATTTCATGCTATTTTATTGTCTTTAGTTTCTACATTCTTCTTGTTAATGTTTTTTTCATTTTAAACTAAATGAGTTAAGAAATATAGAGCAAAGATATTTTCAATCTCAGCTAATAATAAATGACTCATAAAATTGAAAACTAATCATATCCTTTAAATGTGGAAAAATATAATGTAAATTTAATCCAAGATTAAAAATATTAGTGGAACATGAAACATATTTATCAAAAAACAATCTAGTCCAATTATAATTTAACTATATTTTACTTTGATGTAGCATAATGAAATATTAGTTTTGCCATTATGTACTTAAATAACGTTATATTAATATATGTTTATTTAAAATTGTTACATGATCATTTTGTCTAACTATTGTGTATATTTTTATTAAAAAATGCATTTGTAACTTGCAGACAGTGAATGAATCTGCATCTTTGCGAGAAAGAATAGAATTTTTGCAAGAAGCTTCTGTTATGAAGTAAGTTTATTTTCCCTAGCAAAATTTAAAAATATAAATCTAGACAAATTTTATTTCTTATATCTTTTCGAAGAAAAAAACTTAATTATGCCTTCATGCTTATAAATTTTATTGAAATGTTTAATGTATTCTATATTAATTCTAACTGAAATTATTAATTCTATATTAATTCTAACTGAATTTAGTCAATTTCGTTACTTCTGATTTTGCAATGAAAAAGGTGTTATTAAATTATAAAATAAAATATTTTATTACAGAATTATTTTCAAACAAATCAGTCTGTTTTAAAATGTTTCTGTCTGTAACAGTTCTGTAATTTATTTAGCTTCATAATTTGATCCGGATTTCAGTTCTTCCAAATTTTGATGTTCTGTATTGTTCTGTACCATATTTTCTAAAAGCTTGACTTCTAAAAACTTTAGCTTAATTTTTACTAAGTGAAAAAATCAACTTAAATTGGAAAAAGTATCATTCAAATAAAAATTTATTTAATTTTTATGTTGCATATCGTTTCTTATAAATAAATAGAAAGAAAGATAAATTTAACTTTTTAATGATTTATAAAGTAAATCTTAAAATAAGATTTATGAAAAATATTTATTAAATGTTTTGATATTCATTTTACAGAGCATTTAACTGTCATCACGTCATTAAACTGATGGGTGTTGTATCCAAAGGACAACCAACATTGGTAATCATGGAGCTCATGACTAATGGAGATTTGAAAACATTTTTACGTTCTCGACGCCCAGATGTAAGAAAGCACACTTCTTTGTTAATTAATTTTTTGCTGAACAAAAAAATTATGCTTGAATTAACATTTTCAGGAGAACCCTGGACAAGTTGCACCTGCCATGCCAGAAATTTGCAAAATGGCTGCTGAAATAGCTGATGGCATGGCATATTTAGCTGCCAAGAAATTCGTTCACAGAGATCTTGCAGCTCGTAATTGTATGGTGTCTACGGACTTGACTGTGAAAATAGGAGATTTCGGAATGACCCGAGATGTTTACGAAACTGATTATTATCGTAAAGGAGGAAAGGGTCTTTTACCTGTTCGTTGGATGTCGCCAGAATCCCTGAAAGATGGTATTTTCGACAGTCAAACAGATGTCTGGTATGTTTAATGATGAATCCCTTTTATTAAATAATCCCTTTTAATTAAAATTGTCTAATATTGTATATGTTTTGCTGATGATTTAGATATTATCGCTAGAACGCAGACAGCACTAACACAATCCTTTTTATGTCTGGAGAAGGAAGAAATTAAGATGGGATTAAGAATCAATGAAAATAAAACTAAGTATATGCCCTGCACAAAAGCTGGCTATGAAGAAACACAGTTTGAAATTGGAGCATACAAATTCAAAGCCATTTATAGCTTCACCTATTTGGGGTCTAAGATTAACAACAAAAACGACACTACACAAGAAATACACACGAAAATCACGATGGCCAATAAGTGCTTTTATGGTCTAAGAAAATATCTTAAGTCAAGCCAAATTAAAAGAAAAACAAAAGTGTTACTCTATAAATGTCTTATTCGATCAGTGCTTACATACGCATGTGAGACCTGGACAATAAAATATGATATATGATAGCTAGATTTGAGAGTAAAATACTGCGAAGCATTTTTGGTGGAATAAGTAAAAGCGGTACCTGCTTTAGAAGATCAAACACGGAACTTTACCAAGCATATAAAGAACCTGATGTCATTAAATTTATCAAAATTCAAAGGATTAAATGAGCAGGTAAACCAAAAAAGGTTTCAGTGCCAGGCCAGCTGGTAAAAGAAAAAGAGGACGGCCAAACCTAAGATTTTTAGACTGCCTTGAAAAGGACTTACAAGTTTTAAGGATTATAAACTGGAGAACCTTGGCTAAGGGAAGAATGTCTTGGCATAGGCTTGTTGAGAAGGCCCATCCTGGGCTGTTGTGCCAATGAGGAGGAGGAGAAATATTGTAAATGGAATTTCAATAAATTCGTTTTCAATATGGATTTAAATAATACAATACATTGTCATTAAAAAGCATGAGATTTCTTTGCCAACAGCACTGAATTAAAAAGCCTCTCTCATATGAATCGCTACAGCATTTCTTGATGTTAAAATAGAATTAAACATAATTGTGGATGTCTTGAGCTACATAGATAGTTTGCTGAAGGCCGAATAGAAAAATATGCTTTTAACTGACACTAATAGAAATTCATAATTTTACACGTTTTAGCCGCGACTGCAAAATCTTAGAAAGTTTTTCTGAAAAGTATAGAAAATTTCAATTTTTCAATGTTTTTTCCAGTCTCTCCTTTTATTAAATGGGAGGGACACTAGAAAAAATTAACAAATAAACTAAAAAATTTTTTTGCTCACAAATTGATTTGCATTTTGGAATTAAATTCTTATTTTAAGATTCTTCTAAGACAAAATTTTTTAGAAATTAAATTTTAAGCAATCTTTCCAAAGTTTATCAGCAAATAGGTTTTTAATCTAATATTCTCCCTGTTAATTATTGCTTTGGTTTTATTAATGTTTTTTTTCTTTTCCTAAGCTTAAGGATTATTTTGAAACTCTTGATTATGGACTATGTTTTCTACAAGAATTCTAAATAATATTTAAGCCAGTTAATTTCATTTGAATTATAAATATTTAAGCCATTTAATTTCATTTGAATTATAAATATTTAAGCCAGTGGTTACAAATCAACATGTATAGATGAATGACAGTATTTAAGAAAGTGTATAATCTAATACAATGTACAATATGCATGCATTTTTTTTTAAATATTTATAATTTGATTTATAAATATTTATAATCTTCGGGTTCTTTTGAAAAATTTTGACTCTGAGGAATGTTTTAATTTTTAGGTCATATGGAGTTGTTCTTTGGGAAATGGCAACTTTAGCCTCTCAACCATATCAAGGTTTATCAAATGAAGACGTTTTGAAGTTTGTTATTGCAGGAAATACTATGGATAGACCAGAAGATTGTCCTGATTTATTGTAAGATTTTAATTTACGTTAAACTTTATTTATATTGGTTGGGGATGGGGTAATATGTAATCCTCAATTATAAAATCTGTATAAATTGCTAAACATTTTTCTCAATATTTCAGAAAAATAAATAAAATTTCATGATTCATAAAATCAATTAAAATTTATTCAAGTTTAGAAGAATTTTTTTGTGATATTAAGAGAACTATTACAGCTATATTTTCATTTCATCCTCACCCATACCTCCTCCCCAAAAAAATAGATGCCTATTACCCCCATGATTATTTAAAAATTTATTTAATTGATTATGAGTCTTGAATAGGTATACAGTGACTCTGTTTAAGTTGATCACTCACAGTACTTGATTTCAATGTTCAACTTAGACTTTATAGAGGAAGAAAAGTCATTTTATTTTCTATCATTTCTTATTTTATTATTATCGCTATCATGTTGTTTATGCGATTCACATATTTCTTATATGTTACACAAATTTGATATTAAACTGAACTGATTAGCTAAAATATATATATATATACATATTTTGTATGTGATGCATGTCGGATATTTATTACAAATTATTACTTTAAATATCAGTGCACAGGAATATATATATATAAATGCAACTAAAAAACTTGACATTATTTTCATTTCTCCATTTTAAAGTTTATTTTGTTGTAACAAATCTATATGTTACAAAAGCCCTTAATAGTTTTTTCAAGTGGTCAACTCACAAAAACGTTTAAATTGTTTTTAATGCTATTTACATAGAAAATTTCCTATGTGAATTGCTTCTAGAAAGTTTTTTTATTTTATTCATTTATGAAGGGTTAGAATATCATTCAATAACATTGTTGGAAATATTACTTATTTTAGCTGTCAACATGTAAAGTAAACAGGTGGTCAACTTAAGTCAATTGACAATCAAGGTTAACTTAATAAATTTTACTCATTATGAATACTGCACATCTGCTAATCCATGCTGCCATAGCAACCTGTTGTAAGCTAATGAAAAAATTCATTCCTCTGTTCTTCCTTCTTTTTAACAAACCTTATTTCTTAAATAGAGCAATGAATAAACACTGATTTTTTGTTCCTGTGAGAGCATTGAACCCTGAATTCGTTCACAAGTTGATTTATTTATATGTTTTACAATTTAGTTCTTGAATAACTTTCTATGTACAAATATTCCTTCTGTGAAATCCAGTCATTTAGGTTGAGGAAAACTAGACCCAATTAAGATAATTCGATTATCCAAATAATTGATGGAAAAGAGTTATTTCAAAATGGATTACTAGTATGTTTTTTAATATTGTATTTTAATAACTAAATCTTAAAAGTGCAAGTGTTTTGTTCTATATTTTATAGCTACCCACTGATTCTTTTTCCCCCCAAGACGAACTTTTATTATTTATAATTATTGATATTGTTATAAACTTTTAAATCTTGCAGAATAGTCTTTTAAATTAATTTTAACCGTGATCATAGAGCCTATTAAATATAATTTTTCTTTAAACAAAAATTCATTTGAAATTTGCTTTTAATAAATAATTTATCTATTTTATACAGATTCGAAGTGATGACAATGTGTTGGAATAAAAACCCTAAAGCCAGACCAACATTTTTGGAACTAGTCGAAATGTTTTTACCTCACGTGGAAAACATAGTGCAAGATGTTTTTCATTACTTTATGTACAAAGCTAAAACTGAAAATGATGATTCAGTGACTCCAAATACTCCTCTACGCTCATCAATGCGTGAAGAGGAGTCAAATGACCACGATTATAGATATTTTCCAAGTGCAACAATGCTTCCAGAAGAAGATGAGGCAGAAGAAATCGTAAACGGGGGTGAGCTTGTCGAAGCTACTATTTCTTCTGTCGACGAACTTCGGACAGTTCACGTCAATTCTAATGATGGAAGCAAAGGAGTTTCTGTCAATTATTCAGATGGAAGCAAAGGAAGTAAAATTAGTACTCTATCAAATGGTAGTATAGCAAATGGACACGCTTACTGTGCCAAAAGTAACTGATAGTACGGACATTTTGGTGTTTCTTTTCCTCTTGTTTTGAACTTCCGCAATAATTTATTTATCAACATGGCATTTTTCTCCACGGACTTTCTCATTGAAGGATGTTACCATATTGTAATATAAATTCATGCGTCTGCTACGTTTCCAGGGGTTCTTCTTCTTTTAAGGTTGTGAATGTTGAAGCACCGAAGATCAGAAATTTTTTAAGTAATAATATTTCTTGCTTGTAATGTTTTAAGTATTGTTTAAATTTTAAAAATGTATGTTTGTTAGTGTTATCTTGATGGCTTTAAAGAAAATTAAGATGTAATATTAAAAAAAAAAAGGCTACAGTAATGATGATTATTAAAATTTCTTAATTTTTTGTCTTTTAAATTCTAATTAAAGAATTATAGTAATCAACTATTTCACAGATTTTTCTTTACAATAGTCTGAAATTAAAAAAGAAACTGTTCTAAATGCCAATTACTCTCTCAGATTTATTTTAAATGACTGAATGGGATATCAAAAAAGAAAATTGTTTTGTTCATTTTGTTGAATTATAATTGGTATGAAACATCTGAATATTTATCAAAACTTCGTAAAGCACCATACAAAGAAAACTAAAAGCTATGTACTTCAAGAAGAACGAATCATCCCTCATCAGGTAGTTATCAGTTTTAAATTTTTCGTGTATGGTGTTTTATTAAAGTTTTAAAAAATGCTCATTGTAGTTCAAAATAATTCTTTTTCAACCTAATCAAATTTCACATTTAAAATTAATAAAATGCTACACTGAGAAATTTTCTAATTAATTGCTGTTAATGCTTCTGTTTACTTTTGTTTGTTAGACAAGTGAGTTAATATAAAAACTGCTTTTATTTTCCTTCTGATGAAACAGCCTATCATATATATAGCCATCTTTTCTCTGACCTCAATTATATATTTGAACAAATCTCAGTGCACCTTCTTCCAAAGCAACTGCAGTGATATTTTTATAACTGTTTGCTTTTTATTTGCTACAATGTAGTTGATCATTAATCTCATGCAATTTAAACATTTCATAATAAGTGTTCTTGTCGTATTCATTTTTTTTTTTTTAATATTGTTGGTTTATTGTAAAATTGTATGTCCCAAATGTAACCTGTAAAGCATGTTTTCATAGAGTAATTTATTGTTCATGATTTATTATATTTTTTTTAATAAAAATGTTACATTGTTTTATACTGGTGAATTTTTTAATTTATGCTTAAAAATTGTATTAAATCTGAGCAAATTGAGCATCATTTTATGTCTACATTTTTACAGAAACCGAAAAACAAATTCTTTTTCAATTTCATTATATTTTTGAAACCAGTAAACATGATATTTTATATTATTATAGGAAAAAGGATATAACAATTATGCTAAAACAGTAATTTAAGAGTTTGACTGTTAGAAAATCAAGATTAAAAGCAGCTAAACTGATAACATGAATAAAAATGTAATATATATTTTTTTTATTTGTTTATTGTATACAATGTTTTGATATATATATTTAATGTATGAAGCCTTACATTCTTCTTTGATTATTTCCAAGGGCTTACTAATTGAAGAGGTTTGTAATTTAAAAAATAATTTCATAAAATAAAATAATAAAAAAAAATGCATATGAAGAAGTTTTGAAATTAAAAGGAAAAGAGATGATAAAATTTAAATCAAACCAAATACTGAATCAATTTAAATCAATTTTTTTTTTATGCTGACTGTTGATGTGAAGTGTTATCTTGTATTAATTACTAACTTAGTATGGTGAATTTTAATGATTAATTTAACACTGAAATAAATTAAAACTTACGCTGTATTATAATTTGAATTATTTTGCTAATTATTTTATTTACAAGATGATGGTCAACTGTAAAAATATTGAAAGATTCAATTTTAAATATAATTACTCCTTTTTTTAGTTACAATCTGGTATTAAAAAAATTTAAAAAAAATGACAACAAAAATTATTTTGAAAAACCAATTAAAATGTAATAAAAGAAAATAAGAAATTTACAAAAATAACACATAAAGAGTGAAATGTTTTTATAATTTATCATTTTAAAAAATTAAGAATATTGGGTATACTTGTTAAAAAGTTGCTTTGTTATATACAAACATATGTTTTTTAATTAACATTTTTCTGGTTTTCTAAATTGTTGGAAATAAACAAAGCTGAAAAGTTGTACAATGGAACTTACTGATAGGATTCACGTGTAAATATTCTTTTTCAAAGAAGAAATTTTTTTGTTGTTGTTGCACTTGAAGACTTAATTTTATCTGTGATTTTTTGCTCTAGAATTCCTATTCAGTATATGTTAAAACATTATATGTGTTTCATAAACATATCTGCACTTATAAACAATACAATTTTCATTGTAAATGCCTATGAGTTATAACATATCTGTATTCTATTTTATGCTTTTGCTTCTTTTTTATTTCAAATTCAAAATTGAATGCTACTTGTGATGATACTATGAATCAAAACAATTCGGCTCAGCAAAAAGGGTTAAAAGATTCTATGTGTTATAAATAATTATGTAAATTCATTGATAAAATGAAAATGGTATGAAAGCATTTTAAATTTTTAAAACAAATCAACTTAATTATTGAAATTGCTCTTAAGACTTTACAAGACATCATTAATCATGTAAGACATAATTGTAAAAAATTTACATTTTCACAATAACCAATTGTAAAAAAATTGCCGAAATTTTTTGGATCTTAGAAATTTCACAGTGCAGTTGAATTATTTATAAATATAATATCATTTAATTTTTTCTTCCTTTTTAGTTTATACTGGAAGAATTTTCTAATTTCTTAATTCTGCACTGAAATTGATTTATCTTTTATATAACAAACAATTATTACAAAACTTTAATCAAGCTACAGGCATGATTACTTGACAAATTTTGAACATCTATTTAAAAAGATTTCTTTTTATTTTGCTGCCATCAAACGATCCAAGATGGCTTAAATGTTTTGACAAATAGTAATGCATAAAAAAAAAATTAAAAAAATTAAATGACTTAACATTGATTTATATCTGCTTTAGTTACACTGCTATTAATAAATTAATGTTGCCTAATATGATTTTAACTTCAATAGCATGTTAAAATGTATTCTATAAAGCCTTTGAAGGCAATACATTCTTGAAAGTTAATGATTTAACTGTTAAAACAGTTAAAAACGAATTCAATCTTAATTGTCTAGCGGCTCATCTTTTTCGATAATCAATAACAGTTCCCGTATATTCTGGTGTATAAGTCAACCCTCTATTTTTCATAACAAATTTCTAGTATGTCGTGTGTATAAGTAGAGTGCTGAAAAAACGAAATATTAAAATTAATTAAGTCTACTAAATTTTCTCAAGTTAAAATAATGATAAGCTTTTGAATAAATTATCTTCACTTTTTTTATTCTTATTTTTTTATCATAACCTAATTTAAAGTATTGCACATTAAAAAAAGTTATTGAAAAGGCTAAATTGATACAGAATTATTCATATCTATATCATTGTTTATAATGCACCGATATTCCACTATCAACGAATGTACAGCTTTATTACTAGTGTATAAATCAAGCCCCAGCTTTTAGTAAAACTTTAGAGGTTTGAAAAGAATACTTAAACACCGGGGTATACGGTATTTGTATTTTCAATTAAACATAGGCCTTCATGTACATGCTCAATATATACAACTACCAATCATTGATTTAAAGTGAGTAGCGACTTTTAATATGACTCACATTTACAGTTTATACGCAACATTTAATTTGTAAATAGTACTTTGAAAAAATATTACATTGTAGTAGAAAATAGAATTTTCCAATGAAACTATTTTTCACACGCATCATTTTATAAATATAAAGCTGAAAATTGTTAACTTTCATATCTTGTTATTTTGCTAGTCTCCCCGGTATAATTTGAATATAAAATTCAATTTTTTTCGGTAATATTTGTCAATGTGTGTAATTTGAAAAAGGAATCAATTTTATAAAGATGACTTTTTTTGTACAATATAAAATCATAAAAATCGGATTTAATTATTAAATCCCATTTTATATATGTATAATAAATTCAGTTTTTATTATTCATACATAAAATTGAATTTAATGATTATAAATATACTTAAAATACATTTATGAAAATGAAACTTGGGGCCATATAAACCACACTTTCACCAAAAGAGACATTTTTAAATCAAATCATTCTTTAGCATTTTTTCTAGATAGGTACTGTATAAGTTTTTGGAATATCTAATGCATAACAGCACAGAAACATCGTATTGCCTACAGAAAAGTCACAGTGTTTTTAACTAAAAATGCTCTCTCGAACAATTTGAAAATGTGGCTTATTATTTCTTCTTTGGTATTCAAATAAATATGCTTTATTTATTTATTTTTAAAATAAAACATTTTTATTTCATATTCTATTTTTCAAAATGTACTAATTGTTTTTGTGGACATTTTTTAAAAAAATTTAGTTTTATAGCTGCAGATTATTCTAATATTTTTATGATTTCTTACGTTGCTTACATAATTGTATAAAAATCATTCTTGTATTGAAATTTGCTAGCGGGTCTGGTGTTCATTTGTTATTTTAATTTATTTAATATTTCTCTCAAAAAGTATTCTTTACCTTAAAAAAAAATGTTGCTAATTCATTGTTGCTGTAAAGTGCCAATTTCTGTATACTGTCATTGTATTCATTATCATTTTTTGTTTACATAAAGTTTAAATGCACTATTTGTATTTCCATGAGTCATTATTCAAAAAAATACACATTAAAAATACTTATTTAATGTTCTTAAATAAGAAGCTTCCTTAAAAAGCTCAAAATTATCTCTAAAAATTTTAATTTCTTGAGGGTGAGAATTTTATTTTACCACATTTAATTACTCCTTAAAAGAACCTCATTGCCCAGTTGATCTTTATTATATTGAATTCAAACTGCATCTAGTGATGCTGGGATATAAAAATCATAGATCTAGGACAATACCTCCTTAAAAAAAAAAGGCCTCAGCTCGGGTTACCATAAACAATAAATTTGTTTCTTTAGTAGTTCAAACTTAATGACATCATTTTTCCCCTGTGTAGCTTAATAGCCTGAACATAATCACATATTTCTTATTTACCTCCACTGTGCAGTTTATGTTTGTTACATTGAACTACTAAATCGATTTGTGCTGAGGCCTTCTCTCTTCTAGGAGGTGTTGGCTAAGCACCCTTTCCTTATTGTAAATGGAAAAAAGTTTAACAACTTTACATGTAGTGTTTTGGTAGGAATGGGTAAATAAAGGTAAAACTTGCATTTAGATATAATAGGTATTGATTTTTAACCAGATTTGCATGAAACCAATCCCGTGACAAGATGATAGGAATAAAAGAATTTTACAAATAAAAAATACAATTTAATGCTTGTACGTATTTATGCGTTAGCTGTCCTATTAAACAAATGCAGTAGTGTTTCCAATGTTTTTTTTTTAAACGCTTAATTGAATGAGATTAAATACGATTAAATGGGGCTATTATTTCAGAAATCACAATGGTTATAATTTCTAAATTATTAATTTGATCGACTCAGTATTTATCTCATTCAATTTAACAACAAAAAAAAACATACTGTAAATAGCTATGGGACGGGACAGCAAAGCTAAATGGGCAAACAAGTAAAAATGTGGTTGAAATTTAAATTTTTGATTCAGATTTTTTTTCCACTTCACTCCAATGGGTAATAGTTCTAAAGCGGGTAGAGTAGACTATATAAGTTATTTTTACTCCCTGAAAGGAAATTTTATAGTGTAGAAGGTTCTTTTAATTTATTTCCAAACAGGGAACACTTTAGAAAAAGTATGTAGTTCTAGAACGTTTTACCAACATCCTGAAAAAATTTAAAAATAAGAAAAAAATCATAGTAAAATTTTTAAAAAGATACTCGAAAACTCACTGCTTTACCTTTTCAATCTTAGTAATGAATTCCATTTTTTAAACTGGAAAGGTAAAGGAATAAGTTTTTGAAGAATCTATTTACAACCAGATTTTTTACGTAAGCCTACAATTACGCTAATTTAAAAAATAGGTAAAATAAATTAGATTAAAAAATTTTATACTATAAATCTTAGTAAATCGAATGATTTTGTAGGTCTAAGAATTAACTTTTAATTATTTTTCTTGGTTCACTATACTTGAATAATATTTTATAATCTACCTTTATTTAGTATAACTTTTAAACAGTGACAAACCGAATAATTTAATTGAAATGCAATGAATAAGGTAAACAATGGCATTAAATACAGGAAAAATGTCATTTTGTTAAATATTTTGAGACACTAAAATGATTAAACCATATAATAAATAAAGTTATAATCCAAGTACGAATTTGGGTGACAATAAAATAATAAGTGAGATTTGAATTCCACAAAAAAAAAAAACTTTCAGAAAATAGAGAATAAAAATTTAATGGTTTTTGCAATCGTTATTCTTAATACTTAAAAGATAGACATGAATCTCGAAAAGAAAAATATTAATTGCTATGTTAAATATAATATTAAATTTGCGTTTATGTATTGACAATCAGGGGGGGGAGGAAATAGGTGATTTGATTAATCGCTTCTGATTCACACTTGGTGACCATGTCATCAAATTAAATAAAACAACCCTACAGGCACTTATAATAGATTTTATTTTTTCAAAACACTTATAAAGAATCAAATCTTCCATTTGAGTAATATTTTTGCGCTTATAATACTATAATATGTATTTAAGTCAAGTAACTTCTATTTCATAGTTTAATGTAGGGCGCAATAAGTAGTAGCACACGAGTCAAAATTAGATGTACTTAATCCAATGTAAATTACATGCACAAAGCTGATCAAAAAGTAGTTTAGATTCAAAAAAAGGAAAGACAACTAAGTCTTATTTTGGTACTCCAGGTTCATGGGACCCTTATTGTATTAACCTACATAAAATGTGAAATGATTTTAAAGACTCAAATTGAGAAAAAAAAAAATTTCCCTTCCTCAAAGAAGAGCTTTCAAGTCCACATGTTTGATGGTCACAATTGACGTTGATTTAAGTAAGAGAAAATTATTTCTGAAATACTAACCTCAGATTTCTTAACACAGAAAAAAAAAACTACAATTTTAAAGCTTATGAAATTGTAATATATGACATTTTGATTTTTGAAAAAACTTTATAAGCTAAGTACTAGTATGTTAAAAACTGGTATGAATTTTTCAGCTGAATCATAACACTACTACTTATTCTTTAAGTTAAGGTTGGCTAATAAAAGGTCGAGAAAACAATGAGACTCAATTTAAACTTTCATCAGATCAAATATTTTCTTCAGTTTCACCAGATTTAAAATACTCATTAACCGTAAATGCTAACAAGATAAGATTTGTATTACTTTTTATAATAAGAAACTAACATTGAAAAGAACTACTCTTTTAAAATTTCACTGGAAACTATACTCGGTGAAGAGAACTTATCAAGAATAAATAAAAGGATATCAGCTTTGTGCCTGAATCATTCTTTATTGGATAATCTAAGAGCCTCTTTTGCTAACTTGGTTGGTTGGTGTCGTATCCTCTATTGAATCATATTTCATGGTGTGCTTGAATAGTTTTTGTTATTTCTATAAAACATCATAAGGGGGGGGGGGTTGCCAGAGCCTACGAAGAGGTTGGACTTCTGCCTGTTGGACCGCAGGAGGTATTTTATTTCCCTCCTACCACCCAAAGGTATTAGCTGATGGAGGCATTCCCAGATCCGCCACCTGGGGACGCGCTCTCTAGGGGTTACAGGCTCTCCCGAGAGGCTAACTTAGTTTAAAATATAATAAATAAAATCCCATAAAATTTATTTTATTAAATTTAATAACTTAAACTTAATATAGTAAAACCTTCTTTAACACCCATCTCTAAACTACGGCAACCTCTGAAGAACAGTAATATGGTAGTACAGTACAGAACCCGTTATCCAGAAAACCAAAAAACCGGAACGAAATTCGGTAAATTTTCCCGTCATTTAAAAAAAAAAAAATTTTTTTCCTCATAGGATTTTTTGTTCTTTTTTTAAAGATGTTTATCATACCATAACTTTGGAAATAATAATTAGTGTATTACTTCATCGTTTTTTCTTCTTTTTAAGATTATTTCCAAATATTTTTCTTTTCAGTTGGGTTTAATAATAAAAAAAACGGCTTTTTGCAGCGATTCAGAAAACCGCAAAAATCAGTTATCCGGAATAGCGATGGTCCCGATCGTTCCGGATAATCGGTTCTCTTCTGTATATGTTTTTTATATTAGCGAAAAACCTATAAACAGCTATTTCCGTACAATGGCCACCAGTTGCATGCTTGACTTTAGCTTCAAGGTCTATTTTAGTCAACTTTTTTCATTCATTCATCTCTGGCTTGCAATAATTTTATTTGATCGTTACTAAATGTATTATCCCTTGATGATTATTACATTTCAATTATTGTAAAAGAAATTTTCACAGCTTTCTCACAGAAGTCGATAAGAGGCACAATTCGACAGCTTTATTTACAGATAACCTGTTTTTATTTATTTATTTATTTTATGGGTGTCTGCAAGAATTAAATTAATCTTGTACCAGCATTCACAATGGATTGAAATTCCTGGAGCTTCATCGGTAAACTTTAGTTTTAAACGATTCAGTGAAATTATTTACACATGCACCTAAACAATATTTGTTCACAGGTTCCTTTTTTTTTTTTCTTTAAAATTTGGAAACTGGTAATTATGTTTGAAGAAGAATTTTTTTGTGTGTTTGAAACAAGTGTTTGAAATACAGGTGCGAATTGAAAGCAAAAATTCCTGACATAAACATATAAAACCAAAGATATTAAGGATAGTAAAAAAGAAATAAGCTACACCAAATGACTGAGGAAACATGCAAATATAAAATAAAAAGTAATAATTATTCGATCAATATTTAAGTGGATCAAATCTACAGTTTGAGATTTCTATATTGGATCATTATTTAAGTGAATTAAATCTGTTTTTATTTGCTTTTGTTTTTCATCTTTTAAACAATCAATTAATTTCTAACTCCAAATAGTGACTACCTCTTGATGTCGGTCACATCACAGTCCAGCAAGGGACCGTTATTCAAACAGTTTTACTTTATATAACTGTTCAATTATTACTAATAAGGAAATAATAATCAATATTTAAAGGTATTAAATATTCAATTTTACTGTATGAATTGAAATTTTAAAATGTACATCCTTATAAAGACTTATATGGTCAACTTCATTAATTTTTAGCATATGCTGTATGACCTGCTCTTTAAAAATAGTGATATAAATTTTTTGAAGCTTGCAACAACAAGCATAATAAAGAATAATTTTCTTTAACCTCAAGAAAAAAAGCAACAATTTAGTTTAAGTATTTTTAATTCTTTAAAGTCATAACAAGAATTAAAGAAAATGCTAAGTACAAAATATAAATTTTCTTAAAATTTTAGGAATACAAGTAAAAAAGAAAATTCTTAACATTTATATTTTTCACTTGTATTCCTAACATTTTCTCTGTTTATGAATTCTGATAGCACGTTTTTTTTTCACTAAAAGTCTTTATACAAATTAAATTTAATACTTTATCCTCAATGACTGAACTCAAAAACCTAGACTTATAAAGACTCAGTCTGAAACAAATGGTAGAGATTTTAAATTTATTACAGACTTACAATATAAGCACATTTGCAGAAAGATTTAATATAATGAATGAATTACATTATATCATTCTACATTAACCTTTGAAAGTCGTTAATATATAATCTTAGCATGCCATTTTCGAAGAACTTGTTTGGAAAGCATTAATTTTATTTCTCACAATTTAAGTAGTTGTATATATTTCTAACATTAAATGATAAGTCTAGGAAGAATTAATCATCTCTACTCACTCCAAGTTCTTCTTCCTTTTTTCGTATTTTATCATCTATATTTATAAAATAATTCAATTTGCATAAAGATTCCCTAGCTTTGTCAATATTTTTCTCTTTAAATGCTAAAGAAACATCAGAAAAAAGCAATTGTAACTTAGCATCATTTACATGACGTATAGATTCTAAAGTGTTAGCTGCTTTACAGTCCTCAATGTCTTCATTAACTTCCATAACATTGGCTAGAAATTCGGAAGGCAATTGAATTTCATCTTCAACTAAAGGCTTACGATGGAGTTCAAGCAAATAGAGGCCTCTATCAATTGGACGGAGCAATGTTTGGTATGCCTTGTTGACTAAAGCTGACTGTTCTGCTGAATACTTCTTTTCTTTCTGAAAAACAAACAATGTAAAGTTTATTAATAAAAACTGTTAAAGATATTACTTATGTCCTTGAGTAAAAAAAGCACTACGAGAAGAGACATTGGTTGTTCAAGGGGATCTTGGATCAATTTTTAGAATAACAACATATGGTAGTTTGCATCAAAAACCTTATAAATTGCTTCACAATATTTATTCAGAATTTAAAATCTAACTATATATTCCATTATCTAAAAATAGATTTATTTATTCATATTTAAGAGAGGTAGAAATTAATAAAAAGTCATCTAAGGATCAGCAACTAAAACATTGCTCTAAACAGTCATATTTTCTTTGGTTTGTCTGCATGCTCCTCTTCAATTTTTTAAAAAAAAATTCTACAAATTTTCAAATCAAAATAAGAATTATTTATTTTTTTGGGAAACAAATTAAAAAATGTAATAAGGCTTCATATAAATCAAAATCTTATCATTAAATTTTACTAAACAGATTTAACGACAGCATATTTATCATAGGTAAAACATTGTACTAAATATTAAGAGTAAAAAAAAAAGAGTCATTAAAGCAAAATTAAATGACAATGGGTAGTATTCAAAATTACAATGAAAAGATACAAATTAACACAGCAAATCAAAGAAATTAAATCATCGCCTTCCCTTTGTACTGGATTGATGGCTACCAGCTTGCGGGACAACTGATAATTATTTTACAGTGCTCAAAGTCAAATTTTGGTGATGTTTCATTAGTTCTTAACAAAGAAAAAAAAATTTAACTGAGCAATTGTGTCATTTTCTAATGCTATGTTTAGAGACTTTAAATGCATGTAACTGAGTTAGAAAAAATCAAACAGTTCTGATAATTTTTGTGAAGCTAACTCTCAATGTCATTTTACAGTTATTCCAATTTTTATAAACTTGTACTAATTTAAAAAAAAAAAAATTAAGAATCAAAACACTAGGTGTTACAGGCATAACTATAACACAATATAAGAGCCACTTTATAATTTTTAAGTTTCGTAAATGTTAAGTAAATGTAAACAACAGCAATCTCAAGCTTTTGACCTGCTCTACTTTCGGTTTCAAAGTATACAGCTGCTTACTACAGCTTATTCGGTGAGGTCATATATTAACACAGATAATTTTGTTTTTAATAAAAGAGATAAATTATATTCTTTCTGTACTCAAATTTTCCGTATTTCATAAGATATTAAATAATTCTGGTGAGTTTGAAGTGAAAATTTGTTTTTGTTACTTATAGATGTATTGTTAAAATAGGTGACATGGCTGTTAGATTTAGAAAGAACTCGCCTTTTTGGCCTCTTCATATTCGATCATTACTGTTAGTTCATGTTGCAAGCCGTGCACCACCATACGTAAGTGTTAGCATATTGTTCGATCAACGAGATTAAGTTCCTTTTACAAATTATCATTTAATTAAATTTCGATGTTGGTATATGGTTGACAAGGTGAGAAGTGTTTCATAAGGATTCCTTTTTTCAAATGACGATTCTGATAATGATTTTTATTAAACGCAAATAATAATTCAGGTAAAAAATATGTGTATACAAGAAATATTACTTAAAAAAGTCTAAAAACACAATGATACCTTGTGAGCCAAAGGCTTCAAAAAAGTAACCCGGAAGTATAGGCAGTAGAGAGCTTGCAGTGCACCTAAGTGTAGAAAACACCACATCCATAGCAGAAACAATTATTTTAACAAAAATTTATAAACCGACCTAATTTTTTCATGGGTTGAATTACATGAGTGGTGATGACTCAGTGGATAGAGGGTTCGTCTACTAATGAGATGAACCGGGTTTGAATCCCAGAGATGACTGGTCAATATGAATTCCATATACCCGGCTTGCACCAACCACAGTGCTGAGGTAAAATATACTCATTGGTAGACGAATTACAGCTTAGAGCCCACTTGCCGTTAGGCTATTCGTAGGAGGTTTTCGTGGTTACATCAAAAAGTCCACCACAAAGGCAAAATTTCTCCCAATACTTGATCCAAAAGTTCCCTTATCTTCTAATGGGTTCAAAATTACAAGCCTGTTGATTGTGTTCAAAATTACGAGGCTACAGGGTTAAACATTAGTAGTTGTAAACACTAAAAATTGGGTTGGCTGTTCAACAACGGTTATGAAATAAAAATATAATAAAACTAAATTGCATGCATTTGAATTCTACAACTAATAGATTTATTAATGATGAAATTACTGTAAGTTTGCAAATTTACTTCTTAATAAGTTGATAAACACTGATCAAAATAAAGGATAAATATAGATTCATTGCACCTACTTCCTTTGCCAGGACTTTTTTTTAACTAATAAAAATTTTTAAAAAATGTGTCTTGGCTTGCCCAGTAGTTCAGCTACGAGGGGGGAGATTTCATATCCTGATCTGTGGCAGAATAATCGCCAAATCTTGGAAACTTCCGGGCAGTGGCCTGCGAGAAACTAAACAAAACATCACAGTGAGGGACCAACTCGAAAGGTATAACTCGTAGCCACCCCCAGGCAAACATCTACATGTTTTGTTTTTTTTTAAATTTGCAAGTTTAAAATATATTTGGCACCTTGGCGATTGTAGTATGCGCGACAGATCACGACACAGAAATATCCTCGAAGACACTTATTATTATGACGACACTGTTTAATGTATTAGGTTAAAATATATAGTGAGTGAATTTGAGAAAAACATAGTTATAGATGCTATGTCTGGCAGGAGAGACATAGTAAATAACAGATTTGGGGTTTTGTGAATGCATTCTTAAAATTCCATTATTAAAAAATAAATCAGAACTTACATCTGATCTAGTAGCAAACTTATCGGGATGAAGAAGCGTTTGCAATCTTCGAAATTTAATACTCAGATTTCTAACATCTACATCAAATTGAGGAATTTCTTTAAATATTTCGAAATGGTTCAGCTGTTTGGGTTCTTGAACAGTTTCACACGCCATACATACTAAGTCACGCTCAGCAACAACTGCATTACACTGCCAGCACCTATTTGTCGATAGGCTAAATAAACGGATAATCTCTACATCGCGCTGATGCAAACATAGAGGAGAAAATTTAAAAATTCTTGGATTGAAAATCAACTTCTTACAATCATTAGAATCATAAGCGATTCGGCGTTTTGAGGATCTATAGAGTTTAAAATCAACTGATCGTCTTAACAAATGCTGTACTTTCGTTACTAAAAACTTATTTCCCCATTTTTGAAAAACAGTATTCATTTCAATAACTCACACAATTCAATATATATATTTTTGCGATAAAAACCTTTCAATAATATATAAGAGTATTGATTGAAAAATAATAAACGTGCTCGTATTTCAATAATATATAACGATATTGATCAAATTTACATTATTTAAAATAAGTTTCGATATCGGTCTGGTCAATAATAAATAAATATAAACAGTCGCAATACCACGCCTCTTTCCATAATGCCGCAAGAGTGGTCACAGTTTAAAGTTATTGAAAATATTTATTTTAAAAATTTACTTTACAAAACCTCAATACTTCATCATAATCTCAAATAATGCTCTAAAGTTTTTTAAATGCAAATTTAGTCTTTGAATAAATTATAAAAATTAATATATAAGAACAAGTTTCATTTTTATAAAGATCACTGTATCCGCATTTATTGCCAAATCCTCCTAGACGATTTTTCATAAAAAATGATAAAAATATTGCACTAAAACTTTTGAACAAGTTGTGATTCGTAAAATATTAAATCAGTGTCGGTAATCACTTAATAGAGAACAGATGAGATAAACTCTAAAAGTGTAAAAATTTTGTGCAATTGACTTCATTGATTGCTTAAAAACACCCAATTTTTGTTTACTGTCAATTGATGGGTCGAGAATGGTATTTAAAATATTTGATTTTCTCTTATTAATTATGGCTGTTTTAATTTTTTCTCGTATTTTAATAATGTATGTTTTTTTTCATATGCAGGTTATAATTCAATTAATGCTCTGCTCTTCTTTTATAAATAAAAGTCATAGTCACATTACTATAAAATGCATATCATTATTGTTTTATAATTTTTATTATACTTTTTCAGTCAGCACTCTTTAACTTCCAAAGCTTATTGACTGTTGTCTTATTGCTCATTTGCACCTGTGCATATGTTAGGTCCCTTGCTCCTAGTCTCCTCGATCGAAATAAAGAAGGGTCAGTAGTTTGTTTACAACCAATTTCATGTTTCACTTGTGATTTACACTGTTTTTTTTTTTATTATTATTATTGGTGTTGAAATTATACAAAAATTGAAATTTATTATGACAATTTATATGAATATATACCTTTATATAACAAAAATTTAAATTGGATTTACAAATTTATATGAATATATACCTTTCTATATATTATGACAATTCCATGGTTACTCTTTTTACATACAGTCGGACCTCTATTTAACGAATTCGCTATATCCCGATAATAAGTTCGTTATTAGGAAAATTCGTTAAATAGAGAATCACCTTTTAAAATATTTAAACAACACAAACCAGGTTTTAAATTCATAAACACTAGGTATAATTAAAATAGCAATTGATGCACCTTTATCTTGCAGACTAGTACCTACTATTTATTTAATAAATCATAACCATAATAGAAATTTGCGTGGAAAGCAAGAATAGAGCAAAACATTATCCAGTGTTACACTATTATGCTACATACATTTTCAATTTGAAAAAAAGCTAAATTTATGCATAAAATTATAGCTGCATTTATTACAAAATTAATTTTAAACATACATTACCAATGTGTTCTTAAGTTTAATTACTACTGATAAAATACATGAATTTGGACAGAGTTTTTTGTTTGAAATGCAAACAGAAAAGGAAAGGGATTTTACTACTTTTTGTAAAATAACTTTCAGAGAAAGCAGTAAAACTTTACATAAATCAGTGACTTAGAAAATTAATTAAAGGTAATTTCCCCCATAAAATGCATTAATAAGTGTGAAATGTTCTGAAATATATTGGAAAATGGGGAAAGTGGATCTGAATGAAAAGTTCGTTAAGTAGAAAATTCAGTTCGCTATTTGGAAGCTATTTTACAAAGAAATTTCCAAAATGTTCTTGGTTCCTCAAAAAAATTCGCGAAATGGAAATTCGTTAAATAGAAGTCCGACTGTATATTGTAGTGTTGCACATTGATTAGCTATTACTTATGAGCTTTTTATTTTAAATTGAATAATTTGTATGCAGAATAATAAGGAAGAATGTCTACTTTTTACATTTCTACAAGAAAAACTTTATAAATTTTAATCGTTTTATAGAATGGTGAATTTAAAATATGGTTACTCTTTTTACCTGAATAGGACATGAAACATTTACAAATTCGCATTAATGGTTATATTATCTAAATTATGTAATAAGATATTCTTTTCTTAAATAATTTCAAGAAAAGAGGGTCAACTTATTGAATGAAAGCCATAAAGGGCTTTAAAAACAAGCATCTTATTCATTATGAGGAAATGTTTTGGTTATTCTTGTTACAAAAAACTGATTACTTATGTTACATTTCATTTCAAAGATTTATTAAAGAAAAAATTTACAATACACATTATGAATTTAATAAAGTCAATATTTTGTATTTATTTAATTTCTTTAGAGCAAATATGATTTTTAGAAATAATAACATTGATTCTTTTAAAAAAAAAAAATTTTAACTCATTTTTTTAGGTTATTTTTAGTTTTTGCTTGCAGGAATCATTACATTTATGCAGTTATAAAATTTTAAAAAAGCTATGTGTTTAAAATTTAATGTTGAATATTAACCCTTTGATGGTTCTGAATGGGTTCAGCTTGCAATCGAATCGTGCTTCGTAATGCGCATAAAGGAGTTCTGCTCGGGAGCAAGATTCTGACCGAAATGGTTACATTTTTTCCCCATACGCGCTGACGATCTGAGCTCGTTCGCCATTATTATTCTGCATTGATTATGTTACAAGCGATTCCTACCCGCGAAATTTAGTTAGTTTTACTGTCTACAGATGGCCGTACATGTTCCATGAGTTTCTTTTCATAATGAAGGGGGGATTTTTATTTTACCTTGTTCTTTTTATGCGTATTTTGGCGCGTTTTTAGGGTGTTTGTAAAATAAAATGACTCAAAAGCGAAAGTTAGATAATTATGATGATGGTTATGATTGTAATACAGAAAGCTTATCAAGCTTTGAGCCTGGTGGAGACTTTGTTCACAGTATTTAGGTAATTACTGTATTTAAATGCTTCATAAAGTTTTACATTAGTTGTTTTTTATTTAGTCCTTTCAATTTAATATTTGTCTTATATTTATAATTATTATTTTATTATTTATATAATTGATTATAATCATTTATAATTTACTATTTAATTCTTATCATTTATTAATTGTTTTAAAATGTGTAAAAACTGTTATTTATGTACTACAAATACTTTAAGAAATTTTTAAAGCGTGTGAGGCGAGCTATCTACGGCATCGCCAGAGAAGGGGGACATTTTCGGAAGAACGACGGAGGGAAACAACTGCCACTTTTGACTACTGTTTACTCGTAATACTATGCTAATTAAGTAAGCGAAAACTGCTCATTTCCCTGGCCGTTAAAGGGTTAATGTAGATTTTGTTTAAATTTTGTATTTTGCCATGCAAAATTACATTTTTTTAAAATGGAGTGAAACTTTTTATACTTGGCAATTAAAAAAAGTTTCCGACCATTATTAAATTAAATAGTAAATAATTGCTAGATATGCATCTTAGAATTAAATTATCGTTAGATAAGTGAATATCATAATTGTATTATTATTTTCCATAAGAAAATAAGATCAGAAGCAAAAATATAAACATTAATTCTGAAGAAACTGTCTTCCTACTTATAAAAGCTATTAAGATACTTGTTTACAAATTTTTCTAAAAATATAATCAGAAAGATAAAGAAAAGAAGATCAGAAGCAAAAATATAAACATTAATTCTGAAGAAACTGTTTTCCTACAAACTGTTCCTACAAACTGAAGAAACTGTTTTTCCTAAAAGCTATTAAGATACTAGTTTACTAATTTTTCTAAAAATACTTTATTTAGCTTGAGACTTTTTATAAAAAAAATTTTGCACTTTTGTTAAAAATTTACTGATTGTGATTTTTGATTTTTTCTGGGATGGAGACAATTTTACTGCGGTGATTATGACTTTCGTGAAATTACTGATTTTACTGCAACCATTTTTGTGAAGGTACCATTTTTCCTGGTCAATTTTTGAGAAAGTAACCAATAAATGATAGTAAAACCCACCAGTATTAGATCTTGATATCTAATTCAAAATGTGATAAAAATATTAACTTTGTAAAAATACTTGGGTTTAAAGTGATGTTTAGTAAATAAACTTTTTTGTCAAATTCGTTAAGCTTGTTCGAACTACTATCTCCTTCACTTGTTGATTTATATATGTTATTCCGTAATTGTATTAAAATGTAGTTTAGTGTTTGAAAGTTTTCCTATTTAAATTGTTATGCATTGAAAGCAAAAGCAACTCCCCGATGTTTATAGTTGAATAAATTGCATTTACAAAATTGTATGAAACTCTTAATGCCAAATTAATTTAGTGTCACTTGTATTTTTTCTTAATAAATAAAAAATCTTAAAACTTAAATTTTGTTGAATGCTTGGTTTGCTGTTTGCTTGGATTTAATTATGTGTTTATAATTAAAAGTTTTTTTTATATTAACTTGAATTTTTGTTTTTAGATTTCTTGGAATATTTTGGAAATGTGCAAGGATAGGTATGCTTTTAGCCTAATATCTTAATTTCATTGTTAATATATTTTGTAAATATGCTAATTAAATACCTACTCATATGAAACTGATTTTTTATCAGCCTTCACCTGATGGTTGTCGATTTTTCTCTTGCCGACCACTTTTTTTATTGACACTGCTTTCATTACATGCCGAAAATAGAATGAAATATTACAACCCTATTATATTCAAAGTTCACTTGTTTTGCAGTCATTTTTTTTTCAGCGCAAAATATGCATGTCACAAGTAAAAAAAATTACTCACCTATATATCAAGTTTTACCAGTCAGCTGCAAATGTTACCAGCCTACCAAATTTCATAAAAATATAACAATATACCCACACAAAACTTTTCTTTTACAATACATTGCATATTTTGTTATCATTCTGCTGCATGTTTTATAAATACTAAAAAAATACAAAAAATTTAAATCTAAATTGACAAAACTTTTTTGAAAAAAAAACGTGCTTAAACGCAGCAGAAATTTTAAAAAAATAAAGAATAACTGTAGGAAGAAAGGAAACGATGGAAATAAAAATATGACCACCGAAGCCAATGTCTTCAGGGGGTACCGGCCCCGGTAGCCATAAAACAAAACCTTTTCTGTTGAGAGAGGTACTGAGGGAGTTAATTTAGGCATTTGCCATCTCTCTCAATAGAAAAGATTTTATTTTATGGCTACGACGTCGGTTTCGGTGGTCATATTTTTATTTCCTTTGTTTCCTTTTTTGCATGTTTTATATAAACATAGCAATATATATATACAAAACTATTATTTTTACAACATTAAATTTAGAGAGTCAGAAATATGCATATTATAAAAGAAGATGGAATAATAAATGTATTGAAGTTACTCACTTATGAGACGTGTATCCTATTTCTTACCTTCAAAATACCTTAAAATTATACCTCATTATTTTAGCAGATCCACAGCAAATAAGTGGAGACTCGCAACAAATCAGTTCTATATATATATTTTAATGCAATGAAGTATTGTATGCAGCTAGTGATTCACTTTTTGAGTATTTTGGTTTCTTAAAATGCAATTTTTTTTAAAAAAAAATTTTAAAATATTTAATGGTTTTCTTTTAATGAAAGTATGTGTCTATTTAAATTCAATATAATAAAAGTCTTGAAATAAATTTTCATTTGCACTATTAAGAGGCAAAAAGAGTTAATATTTATGCATGGTTTAAGCAGTTAAGTTATGTCAAAATTGTTGTTTTAAACAATTTTTCGTAAAAATAAAAATTTGTTACATATTTGTGTTTTACTTAGCACAGCATAATTATGGTTGAAAAAATTACATAATATTGACATACCCTCCAACTGCTACGGAATTTCCGTAGTTTCAGAAATCTTCTTTTCAGACGGTAGCAAAATTAATGTCTTAATATTTAAAAAAAATTAATTTTAGCGTAACTTGTCCACTATTACTAATAAAAGTGCATGCCATATGGCTAGATTCTTAAGTTCTGATAAAAGTTTTGTGAGAGATCCATTTGCTTTAAAAATTTCTACTTTGGTTCGCTACCACTAGAAAGAATTATTTTCAAAATCCTCATAAGTTGGAGGGTATGTATTGATTTAAAATTCCGGCAAGACTTTATAAAATTATTGTAGTCATTTAGAATTTAATATTAAGTATTGTTAACACATGTGGTACCCATTTTGAATGCAATTTGCGTATGCTTAAATTTTTATGTAAAATTGCAAATGCATTTCTTTGTGATGTCTTCAAGGTGCCAGATATCTCACACAATTTCACTTTATGGTCTATAAAATAATTTTATGTTTTCTTAAAATACTGCTAATTTTGGACGACCAGAGCACTTCATTGAGGATTTTATGATCATGTTTAAATTCAGCATACCAGTCAATAATAGTTGATTTCAATGGTGGTGAGTCTTCATAAGGCTTATAAAGCCAGTGTTTAGCCACAACAGCACTTCTCCCTAAAGAAAAAAAATCAACACACAATTACTTTTTTTTTATCCATTGTTTTAAAAATTACAAAACTAGGGTCACTTAAACCCTATAAATTAATTATCAGAATGTCGTGAAATTTTGATACGTACTGTTTGAAAGTTGTTAGTATCCTGAAATCATACGATTCTGGCAATGGTGTGCCATCTGTGTCTATGACTTATTGAGTGATGTTTTGTAATCAAAATGAGATGTGAGCATAATTTTATCATAACATTTTAAAGAATAAATAGCATTTTTTATTCGAAAAATAAAATCTCAAGATTTCTATAAATATTTCAAATGTATGTATGGCAAGATTTCTTTGTATATTTTGTTCTACAGTGAACTGATCGTTAGACACTATTCCCATTACATCACTTACAGCGTGCAGTGAATACATACTATTTTGGAAGTTCGTGTGGTGTTATTCCTCGATACATTCTGCTGTTAATGGTAATTGGGCCTGCTCGACTTGGCATGCAGGTTTTCAGGCTGCATAAGCGGGAAAGACAGCTCTTCTGCAGAGGATCAAAACTGTGATGGCATATCTTAAGATCATTCTCATTTGCCAAATCATCATCAATAGCCCATTGTGCAGCTCTGGTGGAATGTAAATAAAGTACTATTACTACACTCCATGCCTGTTTCAAATTTAGTTGACTGATTTAAATGAAATTTGTTATGAAGATAAATTTTATATGGATCCGTATTTTAAGGATATTGCTCAGCAAAAAAATATTCATTCCTTCACCATTAGCTTTTTATAAAATGCTAAGATGAACAAAGATCTTAACAATTGTTTATTGTGGGTGTTATTGTATATTAATTATTGTGTTAGTGTATTAAATATAATATGAGTGTTGTTTTTATGAAAAAAATATTTTTTTATGTAAGCATATTACAATGTTGAAATCAAAAATCATTTAACAGCTCACATTTTGTATATATAAATATATATTTAATTTTCAGGTGAAAGAAAAAGCCCATATGTCAGTGTATGCTGCATAGCAATGGCCTTGACAATTTTATTTTGGTCCTGAAACTTTGTGAAAAGAAATCTCACCATTGCTGACAGATTCACCTTTCTACCCAATGTGTTTTATAGAATATTATTTTTATACTAATGTACCTGTATAAAATTATATGTAAATAATATATACACGCCAACTACATTGTTTTTGTTTTCTTTGTGTTTATTTTATTATTACATATATTAATGTTTTTTTTAATTTTTCTGCATAAAGTCAAGTACTTAGCATTACAGCATTGTAAGCAAGGTAATATTACTTATGAATAAACTACATACGTTCATGATGAGAACTGTTAAAATTTAATTATTATAATTATTGTTTATCTGTTTTATGAAAATATCAATTTTAAATTTGTTTGTAAGGGAGACTACTATTTTCCTTGTAAAGCTGTTTTTCTTTTCTTTTTTTTCTTCTAAGAACAAAATATCTGTCTTGCAATTAAATGATATTAGATGTAGCACATAATATTCAAAGTTACATTGAATGGAGTATATGTAGCTTCGTTATAAGTGTACTGTTCAGTGTTCTAATCATATTACATTATAGAACAGGAATTAAAAATATTAATAAAGTATATACCTATTTACTATCTTCTAATTCCCTCTACTTGTTTAAAATTGTATACTCTATCTCTTATGTGCCACGTTAAAAGAGACACAATAAGAATTTACATTGCTTTGTAAATTGGAATTGTTTTAGTTTCTTTATAGTTTTTTTAAATTCATCATTATTTGATACAGATATATCAAGATAGAAAAACAGATTATATATATATGTTTTAGAATTATTTCTAATATAAGGATATTTGTTCTGATTTTTAACCTTTTGTCCTAATATTCCTTTTTTTTCGCTCAGAACATCCCATTTTCTACAAATACAGGTTCTCAGATAATCGATTTGAGAATTAAAAATTTATATTTTTGATACAACATCTTTTTATTTTAAAATAAAAATTCTAATAAAAATCACAAAATTTGATCATTTAAATTCCGTTCACTAAGCATATACACACGTACCCTTCAGTCCTGAAGATTGAAATCAATCTCGAGAGATGATCCATTGAATTGAATTCCTTCCCCCAATTAATATATATTCCCGAATAATTACTTATTATTTAAATTAAATTTTCAAAACAAATTAAGTTTTTTTATGACATATGAATGTTTAACGATTTTTTCTGTTGAAATAAATAAAAATAATATATTACTTTTTTTTAATTAACATTGCTATTTTTCATAATTAATGAAAATTTATCAATTATGTCACATTACAATGAAAGAGTGAGACTGGCTGAACTTCTAACATCTACTTTTGTTAACAAAATTTGTATTGTTGAATTGAGTTTATATTTTTTTCCCTCTGCATTTTTAGATGCTAGACCAGGTTAGATTATAAGTATTTTTTTAAAAAATGATCTAGGGCAAAACATTAATGATGAAGTTAAAAATAGAGCTATGCATGACGCCAAGAAAAATCAGAATTCAGTAATTAGTGTAAGGAGATCGGCTGTTATTTTTTATTTATTTGCTGTACAAAATAAGTTAATAGGGTTAAGAATTTTTTTTAGAAAAAATAATGAAGTCATTGGTATAATGTATGGATCATTTTCATGGAAAGTGAGTTCTAATTTTCTGAGAAAATACATGATTCAAGCATACAACCTTACTAACAGGATTCATTGCTTCAATTAGTTATTCCAAAAAGAAACTCAATTTTACATTATCAAATTTTTATGGTGATTAGTATGCTTTTATTTATTTTCAACAAATACATTAATGATTTTATTGTCTTGGTTTGTAGTTCCACAATTATTGATTCATCTCCTTTGAATTTAAAATGATCGATTTCTATTAATGATAAACTCAGTGTTCAATAATAAATTCTGATTAAATAATAATGTTATAAATGTTTTTACTGATCAATAGAATAATACACCCAACTTATTTAAATTATTTATAAATACTCATTACTCATAAAAAATTATCATGCTGTATTAGGATAATATTCAATAGCGTAATGCTAAACCATGTGTGTAGTTCAAAAAATACTTGCAATTTAAAAAGAACAGCACTGATGTTGTTAAATCAGCGAGGAAGAATTTCCTCCCTTACATGTTAAAAATATTATTAAAAATCACCATTTTTTGGGAGGAGGGTTGCATTTTTTAAACTTATTTTCTGTATGATCTAGCTTTTATCGCCTCCAAACGCCATGGAATAAAAAAGTAATTTTCTACAATCTCTAAGGAGGAGAGGTCTGGAAGCCCTGGTTCAGTGGTCGGAAGTTGTGAAATGACTGTAGTTGCTACTTTTTTTCGTAGTTTGTAGAGTAGTGTGCTACTTTTTTAAAAGAAGTAGTGTAGTGAGAGTGCGATACAAAAAAAGAAAAAACTAGTTTGTAGCGATTTCTGGCAACTACTTTTAATGNATTCTGAATAAATAATGTTATAAATGTTTTTACTGATCAATAGAATAATACACCCAACTTATTTAAATTATTTATAAATACTCATTACTCATAAAAAATTATCATGCTGTATTAGGATAATATTCAATAGCGTAATGCTAAACCATGTATGTAGTTCAAAAAATTCTTGCAATTTAAAAAAAATAGCACCCATGTTCTTGAAGCAGTGAGGACGAATTTCCTCCCTTAAATTCTAAAAAAATTACTGAAAATCACTATTTTTGGGAGGAGGGTTGCATTTTTTAAACTTATTTTGATCTAGCATGATCTAGATTCTATTGCCCCCAAACACCATCTAATTAAAAAGTAATTTTCTACAATCTAAGGAGGAGGGGTCAGGAAGCCCTGGTTCAGTGGTTAGAAGTTGTGAAATGACTGTAGTTGCTATTTTTTTCCGTAGGTTGTTGTTTAGTGTGCTACTTTTTAAAAGAAGTAGTGCGATACAGAAAAAACAGTTTGTAGCTATTACTGGCAACTACTCTAAATGTTAGTTTAAAAAAGAAATGCAGTTCTAGCGGATTTAATTTTTCGAATTTGATGGGTACAAGTTTTCGCAGATGCGTCAATGTATGCATTGAAAATGACCCCTGGCTGCAGCTGAGTTTTAACATGTTGAATGCCACGCTGATTTACATGGCTTGCCCGTCTTGCCAAAATGATTTTCTCAGTATGCGTTGCATATTTTTATGAAATATTTTTTACAACAAAACAGTTAATTTTTGTAATCAAAATTTACTCGAATAATGTGTGTATGATAATCTTGGTTTCGCTGGTCACCGGTGACCCCCATGGAGCTACGAACAAACTCAGTGCCGTTCACCGGGTGACTCCCTTGGCATTCAACGTTTTAACAGAGATTGCGTATTCAAAACCACGTATAACTAGCCATTACAAAAAATAGATAATCACTTCGGTCACACTTTCGCTTGCGAATGCACACTCGTGAGACATTGATGCTATTTCAAGTAAACAGAACATATTTTCGATGTACGTACTTAATTTCTTAGAGAAAATAAGAGAGCATTGAACAATTAAAAAGTTGCAATTATTTGATAATTTCGCATTTCTCAAATTAAATATTCTCATATTAAATATCGGCAAAAAAATTTGACGGTTAAATGAACGAATTCGAAAAAAATGTTCTATATTTTTGATGTATTAGATTTTCTTTTTCACCTCTCTAGCTTTTCAATATAAATTCGACAGTTAAAATAATCATTCTGCCTATGGGGAGATCCTCCCAAAGCTCTCTCGAAAAAGTTTGAATGGTTCACTACATAAGGGGCTCCACGACCTTTACCTCTTACCAGTTTTTAGCCAAAATTTCGTTTAAATACTTTTGTTATCAGAGGATGCTTAGAGGACAGGGAGGGCTTAAACTGGTATGTAGAGGAAATAAGCTACAAAAGAGGCGAGAAACGATCATATTTAATGACATTTTTTTACAATTTAAAGGGGAAAATCTATTTTGGTTTCAATCTATTCACGTTTTATAATTTTTCACCTCCAACTACTATAAGAAGAAACAATCCTTCGTGGATATCATATTTAATATAAAATTAGAGGGTAGCAATTTTACGTAAGAATCAGAAGAAAAGGTGTTGGGCGGCTCCATTTTTTTTTCTGTGCTGTACAAGAAAAAAACTTGTTTGTTTAAACATTAATTACTAATTGCATCTGAAAGATACTTTAGTAAGTACTGTTATAAGAATACTTCTTGGAATCCTCATTCGCTTTGACAATGCAACTATAGTTTGCGATTGGTTTTCAACAATTGCATTTTTTTAAGTGATCAAATAAAACAAATCTTTAGAGGGTTTTTGCTTCAAAACAATATTGGAAATGTCTTAGTTGGGTTTTAATGGATTGAACATTTATATTTTTGACGATCTTTACACAGCATCTTCAAAATAAATAAATCCATCCATATTAGGAGTTGGTGGAATTTAGAAGTTCTTGAATTTTAACTTCGTGCTATCTATTATAAGAACAGTGCATCAAATACCATGCTAACTATTTTCTAGTTATATTTCCTCGAAATGTAAAGGCAAGCTCGTTAAAAGAAGTATTGTGGCGTATGCATGGTTAACTGTTTAAAATCAGTTATTTCGATTTTCTTTTTACTTAATTATTCTCTGAAAAAATGTATTAATCAATTTTTATTAAAATTGAGAAAGGACTTCAGTCTTTAAAAGTCACTGTCATATATATATATATATATGTTGCCTAGTAAAAACTTAGTTTGGAGATATATGTATTATAAGTAGACGACGATAATGATTAAGGAATTCGTTATCTTTTGTTTCAAAAGTTGAAAGAAACATGACGTATTTTTTTTTTTCTCTGAGATTTCTGCTAAATNGAGGTTATCAACTATTGCATTTTTTAAGTGATCAAATAAAACAAATCTTAAGAGGGTTTTTGCTTCAAAACAATATTGGAAATGTCTTAGTTGGGTTTTAATGGATTGAACATTTATATTTTTGACGATCTTTACACAGCATCTTCAAAATAAATAAATCCATCCATATTAGGAGTTGGTGGAATTTAGAAGTTCTTGAATTTTAACTTCGTGCTATCTATTATAAGAACAGTGCATCAAATACCATGCTAACTATTTTCTAGTTATATTTCCTCGAAATGTAAAGGCAAGCTCGTTAAAAGGAGTATTGTGG